ATAACATCATGAGTCCCACTGACGGTAGCTTCAACATAAGCAATGCTATGCCAAATAGACCCCTCCACGCCACGACTCCGGTACGATGGAGAAACAACATGACCAAACCAAAAAATGTAAAGCCCCTGCGAGTACTAAATGTATATTTCCAGTCAGTGAAAAATAAGCAACATATCTTCCTAAACCTACTCGAAAGTACCAAGCCAGATGCAATATTCGGAACAGTGTTTCGGAAAGATCGAATGTCAAATGTGGATAGGAAAGGGGATGGGGTACTCGTCGCAATAAGATCTGACTTTGTCAGCGATGAAGTAACAGATCTCACCAGTAAAGAGGACCCTACTGAATTAGTATGGGTTAAAGTACAATGCTTCCTTTTATAATCACAAAATATCAGATCAGAATAATCTAAAGGGTCGAGAAACATCACTCAGGAAGGTCACATCTATAAACAATGCCCAAATCTTACTAGGTGGGGACTTTAATTATCCAGGCTGGGACTGGAAAAACAAAATCCTAAAACCCAAAACAAATCATCCGAAATGACACTTTGATTTTGGAAACTTATTGGACGATATGGGTCTTACACAGATCGTATAACAACCTACAAGGAAAGATAACACCCTCGACCTGGTAATTACAAACATACCAAACCAGGTTATTAGAGCTAAGGTCATGCCTGGTATATCAGACCACGACTGTGTCTTTGTTGAGCTTACTTTCAGTCTACAAAAGGCTAAAACTATTCCACGAAACATTCCTATCTACAAACATGCTTAGTGGGATACAATCAGAAATGGTCTGTCTACCCTCCACACCAGCATTGTTGAATCTACAAATAGGGATGTAAATCATACATGGAACTCTTCAAATCAACCCTCTGTGATCTCATAAAGGACAACATACCTCATAAAACCATCAAACCCAAACCTAGTCTACCTTGGGTTACTCCTGTCATTAAACACCTTCTCAGGAAAAGAGATCGACTTTATAAAAAGGTTAAAAAGTCTGAACATGTGGACTAAATACACGGCTCTAAGGCAACACATTCAAAAAAACTTGGAAGGTCCTTCTGGCAATATATTTAAGGCATTCTTACCCCACAAGACAATGACAGTAATTGTAGTGCCTCGAAAAGATTCAGGTCATATATAAAGCATACGAAGACCGACTATAACGGTATATCATCTCTTAAATCACATGGTAAACTTGTAACTGACCCTGTAGGTAAGGCTGAGACTCTAAACACTCAATTCCAGTCTGTTTTTTGGCCATGTGGTAAATTATCCTCTGATGAATTCTTTAAAAAATGTAATATCCCATCTTCCACCCAGTACCCCATTATGCCAGAATTTGATATCACTCCAAATGGCGTACAGAAACTACTGCAAAATGTAAACCCTAGTAAAGCAGCTGGACCTGACGAATTGAAGCCCAAGATTTTGAAAGAACACTCTTCTGAAATTGCCCCTGTCCTCTCTATCATCTTTAACGAATCTCTTCATTCTGGCACAGTTCCCTCTGATTGGAAGTTAGCGCATGTCTCTCCTGACTATAAAAAAGGGCTCTAAATTAAATCCAGAAAAGTACAGGCCAATCTCTCTCACATGTGTTTATAGCAAACTTCTAGAACATAAAGTGGTCAGTAACATCATGAACCACGCTGACAAACATAGCATCCTTTACCCACTACAACACGGTTTTCGAAGGTCAGTATCATGTGAGAGTCAGCTCATTGAATTTGTTCAACATTGACAAGGGAAAACAAACCGACGTCTTAATTATGGATTTTTCCAAACCTTTGATAAGGTTAGTCATTCGCTTCTTTGTCATAAGCTTCGTCATTATGGTGTAAATGAGAAGAATAACACCTGGATAGAAAACTTCCTGGATTATTGGAAGCAGGCTGTCATCGTTGAAGGGGAAACATCTAACATTGTCGATTTCAAGTCAGGTGACCCTCAAGGCTCCGTTATTGGTCCATCCCTCTTTCTATTCTATATAAACGACATTCCTGTTGGCCTCCACTCCACTCTACGTCTATTTGCAGATGACTCTATTGTCTATCTTACTATCAAATCACCATCTGATGCCCAGCTATTTCAACAAGATTTTGAAAAACTATTTCTATGGGAGATAGCATGGGAAATGTCCTTCCAATCTGACAAATGTAACGTCCTTTCCATCACTAACAACAAACAACCACAACATCACAAATACATGCTGCACGGAAAAGAACTAAAACACGTAGACAAAGCAAAATATTTAAGTGTCACTATACAGTCAAATCTGATGTGGGAATGTCACATTAATAACATCTGTGGGAAAGCCAACTCCACCTTAGGCTTTCTCAGACGAAATCTAAAGATAAACTCTACATCTGTCAAGGAGCAAGCATATAAAACACTTGTCAGACCATCCCTAGAATATGGCTGCTGAGTTTGGGACCCTTATACTAAAACAGACATAATAAACAAAATAGAAATGGTGCAGCGTAGAGCAGCCAGATAAGTCCCCAACAAATTTAGAAACACCTACAGTGTTGATGACATGCTTCAACACCTTAACTGGCAATCACTTGAAGACATAAGGAGAGTCATGCGACTGACAACACTTCATAAAACTATGCACGACAAAGTCAACATAACTAAAGACCAGCTCATACCTCCATCCCGCCACACAAAACACGCACACCGGAACTCTCAAACACTCTTATGTAGAACACAGGTACAACAACAATCCTTTTTCCCTCGTACCAAAGTAGACTGGAATAACCTGCCTCCAGATATAACCTCCATTACCTCATCTGACTGCTTTAAACTGTCCCTTAACAAAAAACAATTCTCCAAAACTCCAATACTTTATACATATTCCCTTTCACTATCTTTAATCTTTTCTTCTCTTGGCTTAGCAGCCACTATCACATGACATGATCTTCAAATAGATGAAGGTGGTCAATTGACCACAAATGGTTATTACGGTTTTTGTAAGACTGCAAAAGCGTGTAATGTAAGTCAAATGTGAAAAGAATGTTTAGTAAATATAAATATACTTAACTAAAAATGAAATGTTATATTAACTGATTAGAAATTCAGAATAACACCTGGACGAGTGTGCGTTTGTAGACAACTCGCCCAGCGGCTAAAGTTATGTCCTCTGATATACGAATTAGAGCCAAAAATGACGACAAAGTTCCAATTTCAAAAACTCGAATTATAGACGGGAATTATCTCGAACTATTTAAATGATAATATGGCAAACTTCAGCGTTGATAAATGAGTATATTCGTGAAAAACACAAAATTTGTCAGAAGCCTATGGGAGCAAGCCTTATCAGGCGCTAACCGGAGCAGGTGTATTCCTTTTTACATTATAATGATTAAACTACATAATGTAGTTTGTAATGTGCTCCTTTATTCAACTATTTTGTTTTTCTTTTGGTAATAGTTTGAACTTACCAGGGTTGTAAAGACCATCATTTTCCGATGCCTCCCTTTTAACTCCTTGTCTCCGTTTGCGCATTGCTTTAAATCATCATATACTTATCTCGATATATATATAAATATATATATATATGTTTTACAAGGTACTAGTACATATATGGATAAGCTCCATCCCACCAGAATATTCAATGTTTTTTGTCATTTAATGTATTTGTCCATGTTTATTCTTAGATACCTCAATATTACAAACAAATTACATTTAGACTCGTGTTATTTATATGGATAAACCCCATCCCATCAGAATATTCATTGTTTTCACAATAGGTGGATATTATTCAACTCCCAAGGCATCAATTGATCATTACAACTGTTGTATAACATATTGTTTATACCACACGTGGTATAAACTCTAAACGCGTTTTGATTGGCTGACACGGTGAACTTTGTCCGCGACTCCTTTGAATGGACAATTTGGCGTGAAAGCCGCTTCACGCGGTGGCAGAAATAATGATACACAGAAAGTAGTTCGTCATTGTTTTTGTGATAATACATTTCTTATGTCTATAAATTTATTGCTATGAAGACAATAAATATGTTACGTACTTGTTATGATTTGTAATTAATAAATCATAATATTTCCACATATTCCTTAAATTGTCATTTTTGCATATTAATTAGCGGCATTTTACTACAGGTCATATCCTTACGCCCATCTGATATCATAAACAAAACACATATGCATACAGAACATGTCAATTTCTATGGAATATTTTTTTTGTGGTAGAAACAGGTTACACAACGAGTGGTTGTTGTATATGGTATTTCTTTCACTCGAGTTAGTTATTTTTCAAAAGTTACAAAAAACACGAGCTTTAAAGAGAAAGAAAGAAATACAATCTGATATTGTAAACAAACCCATATATATATATGCATACAGAACATGTCAATGTTTCCTCGGAATATTTATTTTTATTGTGGTAGAAACAGATCACACAAACTCGTGGTTGTTGTATATGGTATTTCTTTCACTCTCGTTAATTATTTTTCAAAAGTTACAAAAAACACTCGCTAATAGCTCGTGTTTTTGTAACTTTTTAAAAATAACTAACTCGAGTAAAAGAAATACAATATACAACAACCACTCGTTGTGTAACCTATATCTATATATATATTTTACAAGGTACAAGTACATATATGGATAAACTCCATCCCACCAGAATATTAATTGTTTTCTCATTTAATGTATTTGTCCATGTTTATTCTTAGATACCTCAATATTACAAACAAACTACATTTAGCCTCGTGTTATTTCATTTTTCTCATACAAACAAAGTACTAAATAGAGTTTTACTTCCCTTTACGAAAAGACTTGATTACAAATATATATAGAATTTTACAGACATTTGTTTTAATGATAATTCCTGCTAATTGTTGTATTTTCTATCAGACTTGCCCATAAATAATTCATCAGCTTAAAATGTAGACAAATATAAATACAAACCTGGCGTTTGACCATTGGTGACAAGTGGAATCGTCACAAGCAGCAGCAGAAGTAGGCATGAATTCATCTCAGTGGAAGTNTGGAATCGTCACAAGCAGCAGCAGAAGTAGGCATGAATTCATCTCAATGGAAGTATCAGATACAATGTTGTTTGGTATTTTGTATGAAACAACAATATTGGAGATCTCTCGGTGAAGATGTGATGAATGCAAGTTTACCACGAATTTATAGACATTTTGCCAACAGGCTGTTGTCAATCGCTACCAACTGTCACATTTCAATTTTCTACATTAAAACTAAATTTGGAAAATGAAGATATTTTAGCCTTATCATTTAGATTGTTATGATGATTATTTGCATTATATAGCATCACTAAAAACTGTTTTGATCTTTTTTCGCATTAAATATTTCAAAATAGATCAGCCATTTGAAAGGTAGAGAGGTGCAAACGATGCAAAGCTGAGTACAACTGTGCGAAATAATAAGAATATATTCAATTTGTGTTTTTGTTTTCTACAGTTATCATGATTTGGATGTAGCTGTTAAAATGTTGCTTCAGTCCGGTCGAAACCTGCTTCCTACCGACTTTCATGTGGGAGAATTCGCATAGGCTTATTGAGCATACCTTCCGACTAGTAAGCCAGAGGTCCGGAATTGACCCCTTGCAGGGATATAGAAACAAATATTGACTTCTGTTACTTTAACATCCACATAGGTATATGAAAGATATGGACTAAAATAATTTAACAAGTATCATTGTCACCACTAGAAACATCCAGGATAGCATAGGCATGTTTTTTGTTATAGATTTCCAAACAGGTTAGATCCAACTCAGCATGTAGTAACTGGCTATCTAAATGTTTCAATAAAGTTAAAATACGACAGCTTCCATAAAGGGCCAATGTATTTTGAAAGACTTTCTTTTATCATTAGGATGTGAATATTAAGATGTGGATGAATTCCGTAGAAGACTTTTTGAATTAACGGGTAAACTTAGTTCTTCAAATAATTTTCAAGCATGTAAAATATATTGGCCCCATCATTAATATTCATCTCGCAACACAAACTAAGCAAGCTTACACATAGACCATTTTTTTGAAAGGCAACATACTATATGTTCCAAATTAATCTTTGTATTAGCTGTAAAGAAGCATACTTTTAATTACGTTCAGATCACGTTCGTTGGCGACGACAAAATTAAGTTTTTGTGTTTAAATTAGTTTTACTGAAAGAATTAGTGCTAGTCCAACCAAAATAGGACCATAGATGTTTCGCAGGTGATACATCTTAACCCATGCATCACATGTTGGATGCGGCCTACCATTCGTGGTCCATTGACTTTGTCAGAATCTTCATCAACATTAAGTTTTTTTGTTGAAGTTAGTTTCTCTGAAAGTGTAAGTGATAAACCAACCAAACTTGGACCATAGCATCTTAGGTAGTACATCTCATCCCATGCATCAAAAGCTGGATGCGGCCTACCTTTTATGGTCCATTGGCTTTGTCAGCATCTCGATCAACATCAAGGAGTTTGCATTTAAGTTAGTTGAATTGTTATGTGCATTAAATGTCAAAGCTGGGCACAGGCGAGACATATCAATTCGAATGGATTGTTGCGTAACATATTGCTTGATTGTTGGCAGATCCTCATTTCATACTAATATAGCATCATGATAAGTATCTGTACATACGCAGATGTTCTTTTATATATACATTTGATCTCATTATAACAAAATGTAACATAGAAAATAAAATCTAAATGTATACAATGACCAATTACTTTAATATCTGAAAGTAGCTTAAATGGTTTTCATAATGTCAAGATTACGCATATGGGCGAGACATAAAAATTAACATCATACAAAATGCATCACGTGATAACAATCAAATGTTCTAAACTTGGGATAGTCACAGCCTTTGTCTATTGAATCGGTCAAAACAACATGACAGGTCCGGTAAAGGCAACGTATATTCTTATTCAGTTCGTTTAACCGCACATAAAACATTTATCATATAAACTACTGTATCGGCGGGCGCAGCAGTCAAATTGTTTGAATGCGTAAAAATACAGTGAAAATAGACAAACGCGTATAGTACTTCCCTTTGTCTCCAGTGTATGCATCTTCTGTTGCACAATTGTTTATGTCTTCCCAGATACATCATGTATAATCTAAATAAGTATATATGTAATATATACATATCCTCTCACAGGAGGCACATTTTTGAAACTAATTTCTTTGCTTGTTCATGTTCTTGAGTTCAGTATCTGAGTTTTTTTTAAACAAAACATTAGTTATAACTAGACATCACATACTACGGTAATGAAGCAGGCTTCGCTTCGCTTATATAACGTGTATGAATAAAAAGTGTTTTTTTTTGCACTCAAATTTTTTCATCAGATGAACCAAATATTTGGATACAATTATCGAGTATAGGATCATAGGGGGTCTAGAAACCGTGCCGCTGCTTATTTATAATTCATTGTATTTGTTCAAAGTTGGAAAATATGCAGCCCGATGCTTCCCTTGGACATTTTAAACTGCTCCCACGTATGACGTGTATGAATAAAAGGAGTTTAAAACAAATACTGATTATCATGTCAAAATGACGCAGTCATCACGACATGTTATCTTCGTCATTATGATGCTGGTAAAATACCATTAAGTGTAAAGAAATATTAACTCTATCTTACACTTTCAAGTATGTGCAAGTATAAGGACTTAGGGTATCCATTTCATTTAGCGTTCTGCCTTTTATTGCAATTAAATGAATAGAATCTTATTTCTCTTTGTTGTCTTTTCGCGCACGTCAACATGTCTCCTGTAACATTAAAAAGTATGACAATTACCAGATGTCCAAGGACCCGTGTAAATATTTTTTTAATGATACCAGACATTACTGGTACATGTACAATGCTGTGAATATTTTATCTGTTAAACATTGAATGTCCGTTTTTATCCAAAGATTATTCTAATTAGTTTAAATATTCTTTTTGTGTTGTTCATACATTACACTCAAATTAGGTAATAATATACTATAGATTTTTTTTTTTTTAATTTCATCATTATAGTTAGCTTGTGAACAAATATACCAAAATTTAAACGCAATAAAATGTAGATCTGGTACAAACTGCTATTTTATCTTATTTCTCTGCTGTTTTACCTGCTTTTTGACAGGATTCCCTACAGAATACCAGGGCTTTGAGAAATGGTGAATAGAAAATGCTGTTCTAGTCTGCCAAACGTCATCGATATCCTTCACAGTATCACTTTAATTCCATTAACAGAAACAGTCTATTTCCTCCTTTGTAAAAATGTTATAATTTTGCTTATTCTTCTCCAACATACACTGTATAATCAAACTAACCCTTAACAAGTTTTAAATTTTAAGGGAACCATCAAACTGTACATAAATCCCAAAACTACCTCTGTAGTCACAAATGATGCGTTGGGAAGAATTTGCATTGCTATAAAGCCCTAAGTTAGAAGGGGGGGGGGGGGGGGGGGGGGGGGACAGGGACCAATGACATCACCTTGGCGTTCATCCATTAATGTGTCATTTATAGGCTATTTCGGTCTTGATTGATCGAAAAATTAAACGGCCTACCAATGCTCTAATGAAGTTTCAGAAGTATCCGGCTAGACGTTTATCAGAAAACGTCAGGAAACCAACTGGTGATAGTAAAACATGCCTTAATAACTTATTAAGCTACATGTATGTTAAGAATAAGATATCTTGTAATGGCTGTATATTCACAGGTATCTAAGCAATGCATAAGAGAGCAATTTATGACTGAGCAAGTTGCTTGCCAAAATAAGCGAAATACCAGCTGACGTTTCATTGATAATAAAGGGAGCATCACTCATTTAGTTGTTCAAATACATAATTCTAATCATCACGCGTAATGCCAGCGTTAAGGAATGTATGTATGTTCACGTGCATACAGATCAACCGTCCATATCCCAGTCACCGCCGTCTCCCTACTTCACTCTGACTTTACCTCTCGACGGTAACACACGGAACCATCGAGAGCAGTCAATCCTTACTCCGGTGGTTCCTGGTAAGTGTGTAAGTAGGTAAGAAAGGATCCAATTTCAAACATTATAATCATTCATCATATTTTATCATCGTATATAATTCATTTCGTTGTGTGAGCGATGTGTGAGTAATTATGTATGTTTAGTTATTGCATATTGCATATCTCGGCAGAGAACAAATACAGTGTAACATTTAACTGGAACGGCGTGTGTGTTCTTTTGTTCGAACCTACGTTACATGAAAACAAACCGCCAATATGTGTGCTATACATTTTATACTAAGAGAGCAATATCTAAGCATCAAAATCACGCGTACAAAGTCGAAATACAGATCTGTAATCGTCATATACTGAAAAAGAATCAAAGAGAATAGAGTTGCACTTCCTCTATAAACAATTAAAGAGCACTTATGATCGTCACTTTTTTAAAATCAAGCTTTGATCCTACTTATGTCTGTAGTGACCTTCTTGAAATGTTCTTCCGCCTTTAGATAATGTGATAATGGAAAGGAATTACCTAGTCAGTATAGATAAGACGGCACTGTCGAATAAACAGGACACGACATTAACTTTCCTACGACAAGACCACTAAACTGTAAGGTCAGTATCTTAACGAGAACAGATTTGATAAAACTTAATATGAGAAATAGTGTTACATATTAGTTTGGTTACTTTGTTGCGGATGAAAGAGAGTTCCTCTAGTTGCCGGGGCAACACATTGTATTCTCTGTCCGTAATGAATCTATGTCAAGGTTTTGGATTTTGTACCTTAACTACTTATGGATTAAATAGTTATATGAAGGTTTTCTATAGCTTCCCATTTACAGTAAAGGCTGTAAATATAGGTTTACGTATCAGTTGCCCAGTTAACACTTAATTAACTATCCTAAACGATGGGGAATGAATCACCCCTGATGTATAGGTTAGGCAGTTTCTAGTCAGGTCTATGGTCAAAGATCAAATATTTTTGATTTTACCTGAATCTAGATGGATTCATTGTCTAATGTTATGTTGTAGTGATCACCTCTGTACTAGGGGAATGGGCTTTACCACCTGTGGTAATTAATTACATCAGTTATATACTAGCTGATAGATTGGGCTAAAGTCTATTTTCAATTAAGCAAACATATTGGATTGACACATTTAGTTTCTTCTACATTAATCACGTTGTTTTAGACGATTTTACAACTGCTAATACCCAATTAAAATGAACATAGTGAGAATATCAGTCGAAACACTGTGATAAACACTATATGTATGCTTATTGTTTTTATTGTGGAGCGTGGGCTAAAATACAAAATGAAAGATATGCTTTTTGCAAATTGCGGTAATTTGAATATAGTTTTGGCAACAAGCAAATATCACAGGGACATGCTTACCTGAATGAAGTTGAGTTGGCTTGTAAAGAGATATAGTTTAAATGTTTCTCGGTTTTTTAAATGATATTATCAATTCGTTTCAAAGCCATTTAAGCCTCTTCACATATATATACATATTCAGATGATGAATGGTAATACAAATAGCGAATAGAAAATGTAACAGTCTCCTTCTTAATATCACTACGTCTGCTTTTAGACCTAAATAAATGCAAAAATGAAATGTCCTGAAATACATTTGACTCATCCCATTCAGTAGGACAGAATAAATAATAATAAAACTGTTTTAGATAATAATTTTGACGTAATGTTTTTAGTTTAGGCAACACCAAAAATCGATCCTGTTCGCTGCCAAATAATCTAAGGGTCAACATTTAAAACACTGAATATTTTCAGCATCTATTAAGAGAGAGGAATAATGACTTGTTGGATGACCATACAAATCAACGTACTTTATCGACGTTTTCGCAGGTATTAATACACATGCAGAAGAAAAAGTTTCACAAAAACCAACGGTCTTGTGTGATTTGACTAAAACTTAACCTTTTAACGGTTTTAAAAAATCTACAAACTCTACCGTGTAACACTATAAAGAAAATTCTGAATATATTGCCAGTATTATGCATATGGGTGGATATATCGACAGTTGGTTAAGTGGTTCTTCTGGAAGTCTTTACATTTGTACATGGTTTTCCTATTGAGAAATGTCAAGCCTTGTTTCTCTATGATGCGGTGCAGGAGAGACGCAATCTACCTTGACACAACAATATTTCGAGTTGGTTTACAGTTGCAGTCGTTTTGTTCGTTAAGCTGTAAAAACAAGGATTTTTAAGTTCGAAGTTCTTTAAATCTCATTACAAATGACATACATGACATAAAATCACATAATAAGGCATATAAGCCGGAGGTGACAAAGCAAGATGATGATTAATCAAGAGACGTCTTATTAAACGCGGATAAGTCGAAGTCGTCGGGACCAATGCAAATATTCTACTTATCCGATGATCGACTCTACTGAGGTGGAAAATGTAGGAACACTCGAATGACCCGAAATATATTCCGTTAACTGTTATAGTCTCGTCATAATGAAATCGGTCAGGAAATAAATAGAAAGATTTTAGGGAAATTTGATAAATACAAATTTCTGATAACAGATTCAAACATCAAATTACGTAAGTGTAGATACATTAGCGTTCTTACTAAAAGTGCAGCTCTAACATCATTATTTGTCTTCTTTTATTAGGTTTGGTGCAATGTGTCCTTTACTGCGCTACTGTATGCTGCTTCTATCTGTTGAATGTAAGTTGTTTTTTACCAATATCATCAATGATCGCAATGACAGAATCGCCATCAATGTATTTGGTTCCCTTCAAGAATTTAGATAATTTTAGGGATTCATGCTAATTTTGTTTTCGGTTTTTCTTCTGTTCCCGAGTCGCGATTTTGTAGGTTTTTGTTGACGCTGTCCGATATCCATGTGTTTACACTGAAGTGTATAAACATATGTTGTCCGGTTTATTGACTGTGCGATACCTATTATTTTTCTTTGTATGTTGACCCGGAAGTGTATGTTATCGAGGTTTGACATCGTAGTGTATCTATGTATGAAACCTTTGTGAGTTATTGCTGTGGTACATATTCAAATTGATGATGCTTTGTTATATATGTAATACGTTGTTGTGCTTGTGTCTTAGTGTTGTTCTATGCTTTGTCCCTGTTTGTTGTCGCGGTATATATTCAATGTGATGATGCTTTGTTATATATGTAATAAGTTGTTGTTTTTGTGTCTTAGTGTTGTTCTATGCTTTGTCCCTGTTTGTTCTTGTGTCTTAGTGTTGTTCTATGCTTTGTCCCTGTTTGTTGTTGTGGTATATATTCAATGGGATGATGCTTTGTTATATATGTACTAAGTTGTTGTTCTTGTGTCTTAGTGTTGTTCTATGCTTTGTCCCTGTTTGTTGTTGTGGTATATATTCAATGTGATGATGCTTTGTTATATATGTTATAAGTTGTTGTTTTTGTGTCTTAGTGTTGTTCTATGCTTTGTCCCTGTTTGTTCTTGTGTCTTAGTGTTGTTCTATGCTTCGTCCCTGTTTGTTGGTGTAGTATATACTCAATGGGATGATGCTTTGTTATATATGTTATAAGATGTTGTTTTTGTGTCTTAGTGTTGTTCCATGCTTTGTCCCTGTTTGTTCTTGTGTCTTAGGGTTTTTCTATGCTTTGTCCCTGTTTGTTGTTGTGGAATATATTCTATGTGATGATGCTTTGTTATATATGTTCTAAGTTGTTGTTCTTGTGTCTTAGAGTTGTTCTATGCTTTGTCCCTGTTTGTTGTTGTGGTATATATTCAATGGGATGATGCTTTGTTATATATGTAATTTGTTGTTTTTGTGTCTTAGTGTTGTTCTATGCTTTGTCCCTGTTTGTTCTTGTGTCTTAGTGTTGTTCTATGCTTTTCCCCTGTTTGTTGTTGTGGTATATATATTTTTCGATGTATGGTGGCTGTGATGATATCTTTATAAATGCATTTCCTATTATATTTTTTAAATGATATTTGTAGACTATCGCGCTTTGTTTTAAGGGTTTGTCGTGAGCACAATTTTCTCATCGCCGGCACATATATAAATTGAGAGGCCAGCGCTGGGGGACTCGACATTTCATCAACGTGCAAGGGTTGAGAAAATTGTTCGAATGACAAAACCTTACAACAGTGTGTGATAAGCTGTTTAACATCTATATACGACTATCGTATACCTGTGCAATTCATAAAAAGTCTACTAAATATCTTATCTTTTAAATGACTTCTAGGCTCAATGATCATCGAGCTCCTTGGTCTATGACGAACGTTAATAAATAGATTTTAGCGGAGAAATACCATGAACCTTTTAACTTAGCAGAAAGATGTTTTTAAATCAATATTATCATCACTGCTTCTCCAAATGTACATTTACGTTTAAAATGATATTATATTTACATTATTTCCCCATTTATTTAAACATTGTTTATGACAAAAAAAAATCTTCCGCGTATCACGTTTTTGTGGATACTATTTCTAGTTACCTGGCGCGCGGAGACGTTTTAAAAAACAAACAAAAAATCTTTTCTCAAGATGTTCATGATAACCCATGATGATGAATGTATCATGCTACCGGTAAGTGGTATAAAGTTGTATATAGATGATAATCCACTATACATCTTAGTGCAAATCAATTTGGTTATTTGTTGCTTAGCAAAATGTTAAAAAAAATATATTATGTTTTTCAAATATTCAAAATGACTTTCTTTAACTTTCATTTTTAGTTTAATTCTATATTTGCAAAGTACGTGTACATCTTTTTGATTCTGTTTTATAAAAACATCAACAATAGAAGACGCAGATAAAACTGCCATGGTACATGTACTGTTAGAATTTAATGTTAACAAAACTACAGACTAACTGTATACATCAAAACAAAACAAAACAAAACCATGAAAGATAGGAAAGCCAACTATTTATTTTAATATGTTTTATAGTGTGCAGTTCCTACGAAAATGACAAACGAAGATCACCATTTTTAGCAAGGACGCAAGCTTACAGCTTCCTGCAAAGACACGTGAACACTTTGGACAGAAGGAGTTTGTATAGTTGTAACTCCAATGAATATTACTGTGAATCTCACAAAACAGAATGTTACGTAAGTACTACACTACGGTGTATATAGACATCACAACCGCATCAATGCTGTCAATTAATTACGTTTACAACATAAAATAGTGTACCTACCGAGTGAATTTTACAAAGGTGACAGAGCGGGCTTTCCGGCTACCTGTATTTCATACAATATTCCATTATGAACAAGGGTTATACCATAATACTGCTTTGATGTTTTTGATTATTCTTAGGCTCTTTGTCCTTATTCCGATTCTCCCGCTGAGATTATGTCTATACTTGGATTCGATCTGGAGTACCAAAGCGGTGGTTGTCGATGTAGACACCTAACCTTCTGGTACACCTGATCATTTTACTCTCGCACTATCTTATTGACCTCTTTGTTATGTTTCTCTTGTTCATATTTCCCCCTAGTTTACATTGTAATCCATTATTGAGTTGTTATGATATTTTGTTTTGCAGTTTAATATTCTCTAAAATAGTTTGCGGACTTTCTGGTGTATGATTATCAAGCTGGCGGACTGGATAAGAACTGATTCCGAATATTTGAAATATTTGAACGAGTTTTTGTTTTTGTTTTTGTTTTAGTGTCCTCGTGCAAAGGTCCTATGGAAACAGGTGCTAATTGAGATGTCGGTGAATAGAAAATGAAAAAATTAAAGTCTCGAGTGTTGCAATAGGGGCAGCAGATCAATTTTAGTTTGTTTTGTATGGCCCTAAACAGCAGCGACATAAACGTATTTGCAGTGGCTGAACATATGCCGCAACTTACGTAACATACAACCAACGACATACAGCAGATCGTGTAACTACATAATAATTTGCGATGAATATTGGTAGTCATGTATATGATAAGGTTGTATTGTTTGTCATCAGACGTACTCGGAGACGGTACGCGAGACTAGATGTAGGTCCGTCCATTGTTCTAGTGGCTACACCTGTTACATGTCCAACCCGTGTCCAGCTCATCACACCACTGCCTGCTCCGGTATGATAACCCTACTCCCAGCCCCTCTACAGATATTCAAAAATGAAATTATTTGGAGGTTTCTTTTTTTTTTATCGTTAAAAATAAAAAATAAATATAATGGAATTTATTGGTGTTTTGCAAGCAGTGAGACGGGGGTCATTATAACGAACTATATGCTGTTGTGTTCGTATTCTTCTCTTCTGTTTTCATAATGATACAATGTTATTGTAAGTGAATATATTTTTCTTTTCAAAAGCTAACGCTTGTCTAGCGTTACCATGCAAGAACCGCGGCACGTGCAGAACGATAGGCCACTCTTACACATGCCAATGTGCATCCGGGTACTATGGACAGAACTGTGAATACGGTAATTTGGAGATAAATATCCACTCATTAATTTTGACTAGAGGTACATGTATCTAGTTTTATGCTTGTGTGACACTTTAATTACAATTATTTTAGGAAAATATGGCAATCTCGAATCAATAAAGCAGAATTTTTGGCATGTAAATGCATTTATAAATACAAAAATACTTTCAATATTTGAATATATAAAGAAGGAATGGTTGGTGTAATTTAATATATCTTTTCGATCAAATAAAATATTATTGTTATTGTCATAAATGAGAATGAAAGAATGTTTTTCAAAATAAATTATGATTTCATACCTGTAGTTACACATTTAAGCTGAAATAATCTCGTCATGGTTGCAGTTTTGTAATAGGGTCATTTGCATTTTTCATCAATACTTCTTTTAGATACTTAAATATTGACTTTGTTTATTAAGTTGTGTTCTTTTAAATGATTTTTTATTTAAGATGTTTGTTTACTGACAGCGGATGCGTGTTTATCTAGACCTTGTGTCAATGACGGGAGGTGTAACCGTGTTGGGTCGTCCTACAGCTGTTCGTGTTCAGTCCAATTCACAGGCAAACATTGCGAGCAAAGTACGGAAATTTAACCCAAATCGTTATTAATAAATTTCACATTCGAAATTTTCATATCAAACCCCTTTTAAAACTGACTTCTGTCCTTTTGATGCATTTTCATCACATCTAACAAATGTCAACTTAATCATCATATTTCGACATTACTTGTAGCACATAATTCAAAAAAGGACTTTTTTGTTTTTAAATCGAATTGAACAGATTAATCAAATGAGGCTAAAATTTAATGTTGTCATAGATGTATATATAGATACATTTTAGAGAGCTGTTGTACCACAACTGTTTTAAAAATATTACTGGCACACACATTTCAGCCCTAGTTTTTATGTTCAATTAACTTCATAAAGATAATTTCTCAACAAAATGTTTTCTGTATTTCTTAACTGTGATTGGAAGATACATATAATTAACGAGTTGAAATAGACAAAGGAGAAATATGAGAAATGTCCTGACCTTTTTACAGAAACACCGTGCTATGGGCCACCTTGTATGAATGGGGCGACGTGTCGAGTCGTCGGTACAGCCTACACTTGTATATGCAAGTCGGGTTTTTACGGACAGAACTGTGCAGATGGTGAGTCTTAATAAGGTAGTTGATAGATTTATCTAATACAATTGTCGCATTTCTTTATTTCACACCTTCTTTATTTCTAACAGTAAGATCCAGTTAAATCGTCATATAAGTAGTTACTCGATGGCCAATATGGTTGCTGTCTCGTCGGCTTTATATTGGGATGCATATATTGGCTTTGTGTTCTTATATCCCTCAACCCAGGGCATCAGCCGACTACGTCTTGGTTTTTTCGATCAGATTTTATTCCATAACGCCATGCGACATTTAATTTCCAATTGCATCTTGTTTTAATCGTCATATTTGTGTAACCTGACGCTATATCGATTCACTGTGTCCCATGTCCGTAAGGTTATTGGAAGCTGTTTGGTATTCATTTATGAACGTCCATAGTTTGTAATTTAATTGGAGCCTAATTAATTTACCTACATTTGTTACCATAAAGTTGATGGTTGTTTGAACAATCCTTGTCGGAATGGCGGTACCTGTACCAGACAGGGAGATAACTACAGCTGTGTCTGTCCCCATAACACCGCGGGCAGGAATTGTGAACAAGGTAGGTTCAAAGAATCGCGTAGAGTAACTATGCACATATAGGTGTTCATATTCACAGCAGTGCACGATGCACCCTAAACGGTTTAGGTTATTTCAAAGCTGTTTTTACAAATTGTACATATTATGGGCACATCAACTCACAATATCCCGAAAGGACCTATGTAAAGTTTTATACTCGAAAACTCGAAGTAAAGGTGAAGGAACTGTGCATAGAGTGAGTTGTTCTGCCACATACAAAGACCGAGTCCGTTGTAACATCCAAGTTATATATTGTTAAAGCTGAAAAACAAAAATAAAGAGACCACTATTCAGATTGACTGCTAATACAGGTATAACGATAATATCATCGTTCAATTTAAAATGCATTCAATTCCTTCACATTATATCTAAAGAAACAATCCAAACCATATTACTGGCTAGTACATGTACCAAGTTCTCACACTTGAAACACAACTTTCAATTGAGTACTTGACTAGTGATGAAACCCTGACATAAATTGACGGTCTGCACAAATAAACATAAGATATATACAATTCTGTGTATTGAACAACCTCAAAAACTACCACAAGATATTTGTAAAAGACTTCTTACTTTTACATGAGACTACTTTCGTTTTAGGAAAAAAAAACGAAATTGTGCTAGCGCTTTTATTAACAAATTGTTAATACAGCTAAACCAGAAAAATACAGATAGGTATAACATAGATGTTCGAAATATATAATCCAGCAGTCATAAACAACATTTACATTGTGTGGGTCTCTATACCACAAGAAATCGCACGAACCAAGGCGAAATTATATTTATGCAAGGGCGATAACTCCATTATCAAACCAATGGTGATAACCTTGTGCGACAGTCAAAGGTAAAATGCACCACTGGTGCAGCACATGAGTGCACAAAACATCCGGGTTGGAATTGTCTATAGGGTATGTGCTCACAACAAAGGGGTGAGCATTTTACTGAGGGTATAGACTGACAACAACAAGTGAACTCACACGGTACAGTGTAGGCACTCGACCAGACATTGAGATAAGAATTTTGTACAGCAAATACATGTACTTACAATTGCTAGCCTTTGTAAAAGGAACAAAAGTCTTTGAAAACAGGAAAAATAATAATGTTTGTTTGTACTTTTCTCACTTGTTATCATTTTAACTTTAATAGAAAACTGAACGAATCTTCATCGTGGTGCTGAAGCCATAAATAATGTAGTAAAACTGGGAATATATCACACAAAAATACCTCTTTTAATAGACAATGTTGCATGCACGCTTTTAAAAACCTATCTGTGTTTTTCTACAGTTAACGGGTGCCTGTCGAATCCTTGTGTGAACGGAGGAGTGTGCTCAAATGACGGGTCGAACTACATGTGTTTATGTACAAACCAGTTCACGGGCAAGAATTGTCAGCAAAGTAAGAGAATGTTAGCGTATCACATCAGCATTGCATCGGTATGACTGTTACCAATTCCACGTTGATACGAAAGCGTATCATAACTGGGGCGTCTATATAAGCATACACATTATCAGTTTTTTTGTATATTCATATATCTGTTTCTTTGATTCCCCTTTGACATCAATAGTTTTCCTACTTCCTGTTGCTTCGCCATGACTATTTTGGTTGAGAACGTATTGTGTTAGTAGTATGAGACTGAGAAGAGGATGTTGTTCCCTAGGATAGGTGTTTGAAATCATTGTTTGCATTGAGTCTTTAAAAGAATATCTCTTTAAATTCTTATTGCGCTTAATGTTCTTCTTATTCCGTTGACTCACGTCGTGGCCTTGTTTTCCTATCTTGAATGCTTAAGCTTGACATTGGTTGTTGACGCAATGCTACTACTTATGTTTGTTTTGTACCCCGCTGATATCATGTTCGTTATTCAATTACAGGAACAGCTTGCTATGGATCCCCCTGTAGAAACGGCGCATCATGCCATTCGACAGGAACCGAGTTCATATGCTATTGTGCAACCGGTTTCTACGGAAAGATTTGTGATAACGGTAATTCATTTGATGGAAAAAGATTTTTTTTTTTTTAATTCATCTGATTATTTGTACGATTCCTTAGCACAATGATTCTTTGAACTACGTTGGAGATTAAGAAAACTCACTAGTGATTAAAACATTGATAGATTTAATTCTGATTAATTATTTAATTACTTATTCATTGCTTACTTATTGTGTATATACACAGTTGATGCCTGTCTTTCCCATCCTTGTATAAACGGTGGTATGTGTGTCAGGAGCGGATCTGATTACACGTGCTCGTGTACAAACCAGCTGATGGGGAAGGATTGTCAAGAAAGTAAACATTTGAATCATTTTATCTTTAACCATCAATATTTTATTCAATTCAATCCACCAAACTTCCCTATAAAAAACATTTTTGTACCACCCACTGATATACTCATCTTGCATCCGTTCCCATTCCTCCATCCAACCTTTGATCTATAAGGTCAAACACGGACCAAATTTCTTCAGGTAAAACAATAACTGACCTGAAATTGACCTCAATAATTGTTTGATGTAAAATTTAGGTCAATTTGAGGTCAAGATTTCATCTTTATAGATCTATTCCTTTATTGACCTGAAAATTTGACCTGCAATCAACATGAATTTGACCTGAATTGAAATGAAGAAATTTTGCCTGTGCATTATTTCACACTTAACGGGAAAGTGAATACTGACACATTAGTACTTTGTCAGAAAACTGTACATGGATACATGTATAGATGTACGTACACTGTACAACTTCTATAGTAATTCAATAAAAATCGTCGTGCTGGTTTTTATAGTGTTGCGCAAATTTAATGAAATATAAAACTTGTCTGTTTTGTTTGATCTATATATATATATGTCCCACCATCATAACAGAAACTCCTTGTTTTGGTAATCCATGCCAAAATGGAGGTACATGTCAGATTCGGGGAACAGCCTACACGTGTGTATGTCCGTCAGGATTCTACGGTCAGAACTGTGCAGACAGTAAGTCACACTCGCTACCCATACTACTTACAACTTTGTAGGCTGCTGTCAGTCATTTGCTCAGTAGACTTTAAAGTTTAATTTTGTGTTAGTTTATATTTGTTGATGTTTACCTTTTATTATTATTTTTGTTAATTCTGCGATTTTGTTCCAGTTTTACTTGAAGCATAGAAAAATAACCACAAAGAATGACAGAGCTTAATTTCAAAACTCCGAAGGTGCAACGGTGTATGTGATAGGATATCGTAAATACTTACCTGTACCACTTTGCTTTTCTTGTGTATTTACATGTTTTCCTAAATTCATATTGTTTGATCCAGTTGATACCTGCGTTTCCAATCCTTGTTCTAACGGCGGAACCTGTTTAAGGGACGGACCAAATTACAGTTGTTATTGTGGAACTCACTTCACAGGGACGCACTGCAAGGAAGGTATGTGATGACGTAGAGTTTGCTGCAGGACTTCTATATGTATGTAAACAGTGAGTAATGTTTGTTACTTACTGCAAATGAACTGTTGAGGACCTGTTTTTATACTGATACGCTTATCACTATATATATATACATGTAGGGTTCCTTGTAATAAATAAATGCGACTTACCGCAAAAGAAGTAAAAACAGTGTTACATTGATACAGTTATTACTACTTATGTATATGAAGAGTTACATAATAAAGAACATGATTGACTTCCAGCGAATGAAGACGAAACTTTCATATAATGATACAGTTATCACTATTTACCGGTAGGGTTGCCTTGTCAAAGAGATGTGTAACTCACCCGAATTATCTGTAGAAACCATTATACGCTAAAACAGTTTTCACGGTATTCAAGTACCGGTAAGGTGTTTTATCAAGGATATGTGCGGCTTACAGTGAGTGAGGGAAAAACATTAAACAATGATACAGTTATGACTATCTACCGGTAGGGTTATATTGTCAAGGAGATGTGTAACTTACCACGAGTTCATTGTAAAAAAAGAGTATACAATGATATGGTTATGACTATCTACCGGTAGGGTTACATTGTCAAGGAGATGTGTAACTTACCACGAGTTCACTGTTGAAACATTATGCAATGATATGGTTATGACTATCTACCGGTAGGGTTACATTTTCAAGGAGATGTGTAACTTACCACGAGTTCACTGTTGAAACATTATACAATGATATGGTTATGACTATCTACCGGTAGGGCTACACTGTCAAGGATATGTGTGACTTACCACGAGTTCACTGTAGAAACATTATACAATGATATAGTTATGACTATCTACCGGTAGGGCTACACTGTCAATAATATGTGTAACTTACCTTGAGTTTACTGTAGAAACATTATACAATGATATAGTTATGCTTATCTATCGGTAGGGCTACAATGTCAAGGACATGTGTAACTTACCACGAGTTTACTGTAGAAACATTATACAATGATATAGTTATGACTATCTACCGGTAGGGCTACACTGTCAAGGAGATGTGTAACTTACCACGAGTTCACTGTAGACACAGTATACAATTATATGGTAATGATTATCTACCGGCAGGGCTACAATGTCAAGGAGATGTGTGACCTACCACGAGTTTACTGTAGAAACATTATACAATGATACAGTTATGCTTATCTATCGGTAGGGCTACATTGTCAAGGAGATGTGTAAATTACCACGAGTTTAATGTAGAAACAATATACAATGACATAGGTATTACAATATACATATACAATCAGAGCTGCATTGATACTGTATCAACAATGATACAGTTATGACTATCTACCGGTAGGGCTACACTGTCAAGGAGATGTGTGACCTACCACGAGTTTACTGTAGAAACATTATACAAGGATATAGTTATTAATATATACATATACTAGCCGATCTACATTGTCAAGGAGATCTTCGAGGTAATGTGACTTACCTCACCATAACAAAATACATGAATAAGGTCACATGACCCGGTAGCAATGATGTATATCTGGCCCGATGGTCGTCAATATATTAATAGGTATTAATTGGATTTTGCTTGTGGGAATAAATTGAATAAAATTATGTAATAATATACATGTATATTTACAATTTGTATGGATACGGTGTATACGCTTCTGCAAAGTTGACAATATTTAAATTATGGCTCCATTTGATATTTTATAATTGTTCCTTGGTTTTCTCGTCTGATTGTTTCAAGTAAAAATCATGGAAAGTGATCAGAAAAATGTAATTCTTGATAGATGTTTGATAAAATGCATGTTATATATTAATTTAGTGAACACAATTTATAATTATTTATATTAGGGAGAGGGATTGATTTAATTGCTAAGCTTGTTTTTTTCATACCTCCAAAACGTATTGTATTTTAAACTATGCTGGATTATTTTTACAAAACTGTTTAAGATAAATACTGATAATCGAATACCATGACTAACAATGATATACAATTAACATCGTTTTAGTGTCACCCTGCAGCAACAGCCCATGTCAACACGGCGCTACCTGTCAGGAGGTCAGTGGGTCATCGTACGTATGCATCTGTGCACTTGGATTTTCTGGACCTACCTGTAATACCGGGACAGTAGGTAGGTGACTATCCGAACACCAACTAGTTAAAGTACCAAACGCCATTTTGATGTTTTGAATAATTCATGGTGAACTTTTCGAGACACTCCATTGTTTATCGACGAATCAAAAAGTCAATAGACTAACTCATGTTTTGGAAAAATGTGTATCTATGCAAATATATTCCACCAGAAAAACGTCATATTTGATGTGTGTAGAAATATTGCCCTTTGGAAAAATGTCATGAGATAAAATCAAGTGAGCTGGTTACAAGTTAAATATGGAATTAGGGATGTTTGTTTTCGGGACGTGATAACTGGATAAAACAAACCTTCAAAGATTCCTTCTAGCTTATTACAATTTTGTACCGTCTTATGATACTGCTTGACAAACTTCAAATACACGAATGATTGTGTGATCTATGTATAGCACTGTATAGGTAACTGCGTTTAAGATAGTACAAAGTTGTCGTTTGTTTACAAATACATCGTGGCAGCGACTTATAGGCTGTTAATATGGTTAATGACTTTTCGATTTTCACCTATAAATATTCGTTCACTGTATACCACTGAATACCCATGAAAATACAAACATAATCACCAACAAGAATCCAATCCACAAATATTTTACCTAAAAAAATTACCAGCTAAAGAATAAATTGCGTCAAAATAATACATGTACTTGTCATCATGCACCTTCGAAATCAAAGGTATTCGTTCTGGTTACGCATACTTTCGCTACACCACGGAATATGACATGACAAATCGAAGACTCGCGGTAAGCAACTTACTTTGCTTCATGTATAAAAATCCTGAACCAATCGCTAGGCTGATTGCTAATCAGTGAAGATTACACCGTCATTATAGATACATTCAAAGGCTGTCAATTAAACCGTAACGCTGCCGCGCGATTCCTTTGACCTTCCTCAAAGACATCAAATATGTTCATGTTTATGGTCGTGAAGATAGCGCGTTCATAATCTTCGCCATGATGTTATATTTTAAGAGTGCAGAACAGATATGCAAACTGAGGATCAATGGAATTAAAAGGTCTTCCTGTTGCTCTTCAGTAGATACGTGTGCCTCCAATCCCTGTGTAAATGGAGCGACTTGTAACAGAGTGGGGTCTGACTACATGTGTGAGTGCAGAGAGGGAAACCGATTTACCGGGAGAAACTGCGAGCAAAGTACGTGCATTAATGATTTCAATCGAATGTATTTGTGGAACCCTTCGAAATTATAAATACTGCAGGAATAACACTATTTAACAAATGACTCCAATATTTGTTATGCGTTTTCTTTACTTTAGCCTTTCAAGAAACGGACGGTAAAATACTTATATTGAAAACGGTTGCATTGTCTTGACTAGGAATTCATTAACATCTACTTCAATAATGCCTATATCAGCAATGTTACTGAAGTATATATATTTTTGATAACAGAGACCCCATGTTTCAACTTCCCTTGTTTGAATGGTGGAACCTGTGTTGTCGCCGGGCCACGTGCGACATGCTCATGTGCAGCAGGGTTTTACGGAGAGCGATGCGAACAAGGTAGTGTCTAAATACCACAGAATCGAGTACAGCAGAATAGATAGAATTGGATAGTTTCAACATCTTGCAATATTTGGTTTACTAATTTGAAATATTTTCCCATAAGGTTTTATTTGTTTTGCAAAGAATTATTGTTGATATATAGTATGTTTTTACTCCTTTTGAAGTTGACGTGTGTTCCTCCAATCCATGCCTGAACGACGGGAGCTGCTTCAGTGACGGATCTGAATACAGCTGTTACTGCACAAATCGTTTCACGGGCAAGAATTGTCAGCAAAGTACGAACTCTTTCTTAACGAAAATGATCTGATCTGATAACGAAAGATATGTGTTTAGAGCAAATTGTTTACTCTTATATACATTAATGTTATGTTACTTCTTTTGTGTGCTCATTTTTTGCAAACTTTCCGTAATCGTTATCAGCAAAACGTTTGAACGTACAACTTTCCTTCATATTTTATAATCTACTCTTTCAGTTCCAGATTGCATTGGATTTCTACGAAAAATTCAAACGGTCTGAATTGAAAAGTATTCTAAAACTTGAGTTCTTGTTAGCATAGAGTTGTAACATTTTCTCAGTGAAGTCTTGTATTACAGACACAATGTGTTACGACCAGCCGTGTCAGAATGGTGCCACCTGTCAGTTCACCGACACCGACTTCACGTGCATATGTACATACGGGTATTACGGTCGCATGTGTAGGGATGGTAAGTGTCTATATTTATATGTACATACGGGTATTACGGTCACATGTGTAGGGATGGTAAATGTCTATATGTATATGTACATACAGGTATTGCGGTTGCATGTGTAGGGATGGTAAGTGTCTATATTTGTATGTACATACGGGTATTACGGTCGCATGTGTGAGGATGGTAAGTGTCTATATTTATATGTACATACGGGTATTGCGGTTGCATGTGTAGGGATGGTAAGTGTCTATATTTATATGTACATACGGGTATTGCGGTTGCATATGTAGGGATGGTAAGTGTCAATATGTACATGTACATACGGGTAATATGGTTGCATGTTTAGGGATGGTAAGTGTCCATACTTATATATACATACGGGTATTATGGTCGCACATGTACGAATGGAAAATTCCCATGTTTATATGTACATACGGGTATTACGATCGTATATGTAGGGATGGTAAGTGTTTATATTTATATGTACATACGGGTATTATGGTCGCACATGTAGGGATGGTACGTGTCCATATTTAAAAGTGTATACAGGTATTACGATCGTACATGTAGGGATTATAAATGACCATATGCATATATACATACGGTTATTACGGTCGCTCATGTACATGTAGGGATTGTAATCGACCATATGTATATATGATTCAGATCAATTTATTTATAAATTACATATCATTGCTGTTTTAACAATATTATATATATAAAATAATGATTCATGTAATGTAACTGTTTGTTTTTATGCCATGTGACTATATATTTGTGTTAATGGAGTTGTGATATATGACACTCAAATAAACAATATTGATGTGGCTTGTAGATGTGATACGGGCATTTGCAGAGTTGCGGAGTGGGAAATGTTTGCGTGGTTATTTGTATACGGGTATTACTGTTTGACATGTGCGAAAGGTACGGTTGGGCAACGTGGAATCTAACATAAGGGATAGAAAGTCTCCATGAGTATAGGTATTTCTGATTGAAAATGGAGATACACGGGCATTGTTGTCAGACATGGCAAGATGGTAATTCAAACATGTATGTACAGTTATTAGAAACAGGTTTTGAGATTGAAATAATCATTCCCATGTTGAAGTATGCAGATATCTGGAGACTGACATTTAAAGATGATACTTTTCTTAATGACCATATAACTATGTGTACGCAAGAGGTAACAAAAAAGCATTTTTGTCCCTTATTTCTTGGATCAGTCATGTGTTCATCTAAGCACCTCTGTCATGCACCTGGGTATCATATCTTATTCTCGATGATGATATGTTAATTCTCCATAGCTTGGCTGGATATAACAAATCCTTGAATTTATTGTTTAATAGATAACAATAGTTTAATTCTCCATGCGGATCTTTCAATGACATAATTTCGTACCTATTTCACCTCTTTTTGCGTTTAATCAGTTGATGCCTGTCTCGCAAATCCTTGCTTCAACGGCACGTGCAATAGGAACGGATCGCACTATTACTGTACCTGAACTTACCTACTTACGAAATATGCTCACGAGAAAGGCTTGTGCAAGTCTATAAATAACTTAGTAATGTAGGCACGTAACAATATGCAATAAATACAAACTTTTTTTGTAATTCGCTTGTTTTGTCTTTGTTTTGTTTTGCTTTTTGTTTGGTTGTTTTGTTTTCGCAAAACAATAAATTGATCGATGATTTTAATTCAATTCTAAATAATTAACACGTTAAGAGATGTTTTGCATATACACGTATACCATTTAAAACCTTAGACGAATTTGAATAGTTTCATTTAGATTACATCAACAATTATAGATAGATAGGTTGCTATTGTTTGCAGAATGCTTAACCACGAGACCGGTTGGGTTACAAGACTACTTCGTCTGTCTCCCCATTGTACTGATTAACATAATAAACCGAATCTATATTAAAAGACAATCTGCAATAAGACATTACGTTTCGTTCATCCAGACATTGATCTGTATTTCTATATTGGAACATTCGCTAACATATATAATAATACTAATTAAGGCTTTATTTATTCTTGATAACATATTGAGCATGAAGCTCATCTTACATATGGTCAAGACACAAGATATGATTAAATATACAATATTTACAGCTATGATGATGTTGTCCTATCAACCACAAGTAGATTATTAAGCATGTCATTATATTTTCTAGTTATTTTCTAAAAGCGTGATAAATTTATATATACATATATATTCAAATTTATTTGTGGTCGGGTGGCCTTCTCGCGCTAACATCCGAGCTAACAAAAGTAACTTATGTAAGCTGTAATAATTTGATTAATAATTATTGAAAAAAATAAGCAATGCTTATATCATATTAAATTTATCTTTTCTTCACAGTTTTATGCTAAAGGTCCACTAAAGTCAGTTTTTCATTCCTCTACGATACACTCCGGTAAATTTTCCCACCTCCTACCGTATTTTGAATTTGATCGACGTAACATAAAAAAACACATTCTGTTGCAGTTACTTGTGGATGTTTTCTTCGAGAGCGAACAGAAGTAGAAGCATCAATCACTTAAATCTCGTACTGTTGATATAAAAAAACACACAAGTATTAGAAGTTTAATCCGTATTGTTTATTTTAAAATACAATTGCACCGTGTAAAAAAAAAACCAGTAGAACTGATGAAAACCACATCCTTCAATTTTACGTATGGAAAGTTTAATAATTTTGTTTTCAATCTCTCATCGATATGGTAATCATTTTGTTTCATGGTTCAATGATAGCTACACTGCGACGATGTACAAAACACTTGGTCAAAACAGATACATTCTCCTACATAAAATAGTGCTGGGGTACAACATTGAATTATAACTCCGTTTTGTTTGTTTCCCATTTGTGTAATTGTTTGCAAAATTTCTAATTCCGAACCTCTTATTTGATTTACTGTATTATACCTCTCAGGGCCCAGTTGTTCAAAAGCTGGTTAGCTTAATCGATGTTTAACAACATATGTCGACCTTTATTATTTCCATCAATACACACGGTAAAATCACTCAATAGTGTATGTAAATTGACACTACTAAATATTTGATATCTGTAAAGTTGTAACTTGTTCAATGGTTCTGTTTTAAAGAAACACGAAAATTAAAGTTTGCGCTAATCACTGATAAAGCTAGTCTCCTTTTGAACAAGGCTTCTGATGATCCCCAAACAAATCTTAATAATTGGATCTGCTTTGTAGATTATTAATGATAAGAAATATGCGCACGCCGTCCATTCCATAACATGATAAGATCTATGTGAGGACGGAATTTCTTGAATAGTTACCAATGTATATGGATAATAATTTGAGAACCGCTTTAAGACGACCTATGACCCGTATATTAGAACCTCGACTCATTATTATTATCATTATTATTATTTCCTATCTTAGACTTTTTTAGTCTTTGGGATTAATTTCCTGTCCGTGGACTTGAGCAAGTCTATAATGTTTTCAGCCAGAAGACTCGCTCAGATCATTCTATAGATAAATCAATAAGTGATAAAAAAAAAATGATTAATGAAGGATAAAAATTAAAATAAGACATAGAATATATCAATATAAACTGTAATATTATGTCGTTTCTCTGGATAATGTTGCTTACAATCAATTTTTTATGACAAAATGAAGATGAACGGAAATCTGAATATTTTTATATTATCATATCCAGCAGTCGAGATTAATACATTACCTGAGACCGTACTATTGCTTCCTTTGGAATGTCGGAAGCCACATCATCGACCTTTATACATTAGTAATATACAATGTAAAATGGAAATAGAGTGACATCAATGTAGTTGAGCAAAACAATAAAATCAAAGTTCATGTTGGACGAACAGCGATATCGATGATGAAATATTTACAATCGTATAGCATTGCCACTATATTACCCTACCAAATTCAGTTTGCATTCTTATAGGCAATGAATGGCATGGACCTATTGTTGACGATTTCATTATAATGACGTCATAATTAATACGTTTGATACCACTGACCCTCCTAGGCGATGGCTGTTCTATTTATTGATCAAACATACACGACGCAAACATTACTTGCACTAAATGTTAAATAATAATAAGTGTAATTTATTTTTTATGATATGAACAAATACCAAACATGGTAAATATAGATATTGAACGATTTTTATGCTGCATTCATAGGCAATTTTCATTTGTCCAGTTGACATTCATATTGCCTTTGAATGCCAACTAAAAGCAGTTAAATGCTTAAATATTGTCATATCATACAAAGTGTTTACTGGAACATATCATCGATATAGATAAGTCGAGAAATGAAAACGGAAATACGTTACTTTTTAAAATGTCTTTTAACCACAGCACCATATGTGTTTTTTTCTTTTTTCATCCCATTTTAGATAAAAAAATTGAAGTTGCGTAAAGAAGATATAGATATTCACTCATTGATGCAAATCGTTTGCACTATAGGGGTGTTTTCTCGTCAAGAAGAGAAGCTCGTTTCTCCTCTGAGTCGTCCAAGCAATCACTTGCCTGCAAATAGACATTCACGTCCTCAGCAGATCTGCAAATATTAAGAAACATGTATTAGATAGAAAACTGTGAAATTAATGTAACTAATTTGTTTTCTTCTAACTTTTCATTCCCAAAATATCATTCAATGTTCTTTGTATTTTCGTTTTTATCATCGCTATTACGTCTTTCTGTTATGAGTTCGAAAATGAAATTTCATGAAATCAAATCCCCATGTTCAGAAAAGACATGTGGAATATTTTTTAACCTTATTTCGCTGTAAACTGTTAGTTACTGTTTAGACAAAAATCTATCAGATTTCTAGCGTTCACACACAAAGGTCATCAACAATATATTATCAGCCGGGTATAAACGAAAGTTCGTTTGAAATTTGAACTATGAGTCGATTACATTTGAAGGAAGATGATATAAGTAAAATATGCATATTGAATATTTGTTAAACATCCAATTATCTGAATATGCAAACTGTCACCCGATATAACACCGAAATATGGATAGCCAATGCCATGCTTAGATACACAGGTTACATGTATATGAGGGTTCATCAGAGTAAATTTATTCTGCGTGGGTAATTGATAATTATGTTTTAGTTTTGTCCTAAAAGTAGACGACGTACGTTCCAAATCGTGTCCCTTCATCTATAGTGTCTGGAAGTCGCTTGTGAAGAGTCTCTGGTAGAAGCAATGTAAACAGGCCTGCCGCCACACTGATAACGCCGAATATCACCAGAGGTAGTGCCTGTCCGTAATGGCTGCCTACCAAGGAACCCTAATTGAAAGAAGAAAAAGCGAAAATAAAATCAAAACAACAACGATAATAGCATACAAGTCCACAAGTTATAATAGGATCCAAGAAGTCATAAATAGGATTTAATTTATCTCATTCACCCATGAACCCACACTTAACCTCTTCCAATTCAGAGGTTGGAATACACCATCATGAAATTTCAGGGGTGAATGAGTTAAACACGACGAACAATTTGTCAATTGGTAGCATATTGAACAATGGAAGACAACTCGGGTAATCTTTCGAAGGAACTTTTTGTGGTCGGTTAAATGTATCCATGACACTGTTTTTACGACATATATGAGTTTCGTTGTCTGACGTCCCATTATTCTCAAAACTAATTTCATTTCCAATCAATTTCATTAGAAGTATTGTTTGAACACATTATTATTCAAGATAACAAAAGATTCTGTAAAATATTTGACAAAAACGAAATGATTTCTCCCCGATATTTGTCATGTGCTGATAAGTTACAGATATAACTTCCGCGATGAATTATTGTATTTGTATAATGCATGGAAAACTCTTTCTATTGTTTTGAGACACATATTTTCAATTATTTATAAAACTAAGCCAAAGTGCTTGTTCTTTTTTCATGACTGTTTCTATAACTTAAAAAGGATATTAAATAACAAAACCTTTATATGTTAAAAAAAATCTGACGTTATCGGTATACGGTGATATTATTTTAAGCGCAGGACGTTAACCAAGCAATAAGTCTTTTCTTTGACAAGTCTTTTTATCAGTTGTCGTATAACTTACCAACTTAGCAATGTAAGGTGCCGACATTCCTCCTAAACGTGCCACACATGAGCTTGCCCCCATTCCACCTGTGCGGACTACAGTCGGGAATAATTCACTAGAGAAAATGTAAATAACAGCAAACGCTCCTGTTGACCCTGCTTTCCCAACACAGCACAGCGCTATGGTGTACGGTTCAAAGGCTGCAAGAGAGTACATTGTACGTATACATTCAATGCGGTATGTATAACACACAGCAGCACGTAAAGATAAATCATGGTGTGGTGAAGCCCCCCAACTGTGCGCAGACGAACATGTTTGAAGTCTTGGCGTGAGTGATCATTGTTCAGAAATATGTTTATCCTAACTAACTTACATATTCATTGGGGCGCATAATAGAAAAATGTCCTTCAACAAAACTCTCCTAACGTAAGGCATGTATATGCGTCTTAATGTATGGAAACATGTATAGGAAGAGCTCTTTATACGAGTTTAATATGGTTGCTACAATGTTAAATTGTTTTTTATCTTCATTATTCGCTAGTTAAAGGATAAACAAAAGTGTTATAGTGTATAAATATATCTTCAAAGATATATTAACTCAAAGTGTTCATATTCGCTGGTACTATTTATATGGCGTTATTTTTGGTGACCTCGAATATACCAAAATTAAATCCGCCGTGAATATTGTACACCGTAAATCTAGAACAGGTAAGCGGAAAGTGCACAACTTACTTTCTCCTCCTAGCAATACGGTGAAGATGGTCATCAGGTTGGACCCGCCGCTGAGTATCATGAAGAAAGCAAGCACGTTTCTACGACCAAACTTTGACAGAAGGCCGATCGTTAATGCTATGGCAGGGATTTCAACAACCGCCAATAGCAGGAATTTCAAGTAGAAATTTCCTCCGAGATTACTCATATGTATGGTCGTTCCAAAGAATATCTGCGAAACTGAAAACCTGCGAAAATAAAGATGCATTCGATAAATAAAAGTTTATTTTGAAATACAATGAACATAGTTTTTTGAGTTATCGTATATCGTATAGAGAAGTTAACACAAGTTTATTTTCATGTTGATATTGGCTTTGATTTCAAAAGTATCATGTGACGACAAATTCATCTAATAATAGCATAATTAAAAAAAAAAAATGTCATTATACTGGTAAGCCAGAACTTATCACCGTAGCAAGAACAACTCACCTGGTCAGATAATTGTGACAACTAGCTCCTTTTGTAACTACGATGTTGAGAAAGATATCACCGAAAAAATTGCATAAAATAGCAATAAGAAGTTATATCAAAATTGTTACAAACGTAACAGCAGAAATGGTTTGTACTAAATGTCCCTTTAATCGGGCGACAGATGAATCCCGGTCATTTTATCCGGTCTGTACATTGGTTGTTTATGAAGAACAAATCCTTTATGGGCAAGTGTTAAATCTTATTCCTGCAATAATTATTCTTTAATATATATATATATATAATACAAGACAATATGATTACGTTAATTCGGAACACAAAGTCTTACCAATTGAGAAATATGATACAGGTCCTCCACGCCAACGTTTTCGAGGAAAACAATTGCCAGACTCGCCCCGGCTTCACCTGTTCTATGTGACTTAGATCTATTTTTTCAGGATACGGTTTCCTGTTTTTCTCGGCCACCTTCCTGAGGATAGTCTCTGCGTCTTTGTATCTTCCCTGGCTGATAAGCCATCTGGGAGATTCGGGTATAACCCTACAAAGCAAGGTTAGCCAGTCAAATTTCTGTTTGTAGTACATCATTTACTAATTCGTTCTTTAACTATATGAAATTAAAATAAACAAACAAAGGAAAAATGAGATTAAAACATATCAGGTAACATATTAATGCATGTATGCGTACAAACTATAAAACAACATAATTAAATTGCAACGCAAACAGGAGCCCCCATCGTCCTGGTAACCTTGACGAAGGAAAATTAAAGTGAGTTATTTGCAAATGATAAATGATTAAAACTAAACGATAAGTTATTTTCATACTTTCGAAAGACATTTCTTTTATCTTAATTGTTTAACTTGTTCATGTGTTAAGGGAAGATGTATACGATCTGTTTGATCAACTACAGATAACTATTTGGCGTATTCAATTTATGTTGAACACCGTTCAATGCTATGGTATCTTTATCTTCTTCGTGGTAACAGATAAGAACGGCAAGAGTTTATGGGAAAACGCACATCACTATAAGCAACTAAATCTTCAACTAAAGCTTTCGACGCGCATTACCTTCTTAGCGCAAGCTACTCTCTTGTTAAAAAAACAATCCTTGGGAGAGTAAATACCGACATATACTGACGCAGATATTGCCGTCTAATGCCATAGTAACTTTATCTTCTTCGCGGCAACATATTAGAACGGCAAGAGTTTATGGCAAAACGCATATCACTATAAGAACCAAATATTCAACTAAAGTTTTCGACGCGCATTACCTTCTTAGCGCAATCTTCTCTTCTTTAAAAAAACACAATCCTTGGGAGAGGAAACACTGACATATACTGCGCAGAACATTAACCGCAGGTACTGTTTAGCGGAAATGGTGAGAAAACTTTATGTATTGGTCATATTACTCGTATTAAAAAAGTGGTCGAGGGACAAGCGACTTGGAGGCATTGATGTTCAGGATAGTAATATAGTGCGCTTGTTCCTACATGTATATGATATGAAAAGTATTGGAAGCAGGCATATTTGAATCATTGTAAGTTTGAATGGTGTATACGCTTAAGTTAATGATATCAAAGAGATTGTAGTAAATATTTCAAGTGAATAGAGCTACTTATTGATGTTGTCAACTGAAAAAAAGATGTTGATGTATCTTCTGAATATGAAATGATGTAATGAAAATAGGTCGTCAAAAGAATTCCAAAAACGCGTTGTTGTTTTTATTCGATGGATCGCTTTCGTTGCTGGCAAAACATTACAGGATTCCACTGTTTTGGTATCTACAGTAAACTCAACTGATCTTCCCGTCATTTAGGATGTACTAGTAATTGTTACGGGATTTGCTTAACTGGAAACCAGTAATCAGGTATCTGCTTTTGTGATAATGATTATAGGCGAGATTGTTAGTTAAAATAAGTTTTTGGTTTTGGTTTTTTTTCCGTTTCATTTTTTTAACAAATCATAATTATATTAACTCCGAAAATGCCCGTAGTAAGTTTCAGAGCATACGTGTTTCTTTTTTTTCAAAAATTGCTTATTAACGGTTTCGTTACCGAAATTTTGTTTGCAACGCACAATAAAAGTTATTGACAGTAGTTTGGGAATCCTTCGACATTCCATAAGTAACAAAATACCTCACAATTATTCTTATTTCCATGTTAAATTGATTCATCGAAAAGTCGTCTATCAGTGCCATTCTTTAATAAATAGATAAGAATATATTTTTAGATTGTTTTCACCATATCTGTGAAATGTTTTGGGTTTTGAGGATGTGAACTGGTGTTGTGTGCAGTCAGAATGTTCTTAGATAGGTTGCAAGTTCTGTATCATTTACTCATAGGCAATGTTGATCAGTGAAGCTTAGAAATAATGCTAAGAATTTTATGAAGAAAACTTTTGATTTTGCTTTCGTTGGACAATTCGTCTGACTGAAAAGAAATATTCAAATAAAACAGACTTGTAGGATAATCATATAATGATATAGATGAAGATTATTTATGAGAAATACATTTTTCAATAATAATGCAAAAGAACCAGTACCTGCTTAGCCTGAAATTAAACTTTACATATACATTTAAAATTGAGGTAATTTACCTTTCATAAAAAAAAAGATTTTTTTATTTTTATTTCTAAACGCTGAAAGTTTCTTTCAGCTTTAAAAATCAATAGTTTTGAACTCTGGTTTTTTCTTCATTCTTTCTGAAAAGTAGCTTTATTAATATTTATTTGACATGTATATATTGTGTGTATGAACTTATTGGATAGCGCAGTCAGGTAATTTGGTTCATTAGCAATATTTCACAAAGTACATCTGAAACACAAGATCATTAAAGCATGACTTAGCTTACCTGCTATACCAATTACCTTGTGCTTTTTAGTTATATCCAGCTGAGCTTGGCTAGCTCTCCTGGAGAACTTGCCCAGCATCCGGAATAATTTCATCCCCAAACTCTTAGACACACATCGTCAAGATTTAAGAAGATAATGAACGTAAAACCCTCAATTAAGCACCGTCTGAAAATAATGATCTCTTGAAAATAAAAAGGGCTCGAAATAAATCTCTTAATTACGAGAATTTCTGATTAAGTACATATAGAGACCTGTGGAAAAAATATGTTGTAACATCTTTGGTTAGCATATTATGAAAAAAGTGTCATATGTTCCTGTAAATGGCGTTTTACTAAACTGGATGACAGCATGCTGGTAATTGCAATTTTAATTTGTATCATGGTATAACTTGGACGTCCATTTTGTTCGGGTTTTCATCCTATCTAACAATATCTTATTTACTTTGTTAAAGTGTTTTTTAAAAAAACGTATATTTATCTTCCATTTGCCTATAACGAAAAAGGAGTTCTAGCAATAAGGTTAAAATATCCTTAATTATATATATATGTGTGTATCCATAGTTATATATATATGTGTATCCATAGTTATATATATGCGTATCCATATGTATATATGTGTGAATCCATAGTTATATGTATATGTATCCATATATATATATGTGTGTGTATCCATAGTTATAAATATGTGTATCCATAGTTATATGTATGTGTATCCATAGTTATATATGTATGCATCCATTGTTACATTATATATATATATGTAACAATTGATTAGTTATATATATATATATATAAAGGAATTTTACTCGTTACCTGACCTAATAATTACAACACCATAACAGCTATCTTGGTGTTCGTCAGTAAACAAGACTCTATGACTACTGTCGATACATGTAGCTGTATATCTTTATTTTTTGTTAAATGTCATTCTATAAAAAAAACACTTTTACTTTATTGCATCAGTTGTTTTACATGTAGATGTAATTTCAAGAACATATCTGTTAATTTTACTTTCAACTCTAATTTACTGTTGATATTTTCTGATCGAAGACTATTAATGTCATTTTGTACTATCAAGGCAAAAAACAACATCCCCACTTTAGTAAAATATAGTTACTTTATCTTGAACCAACATACTTGTTCCCGAATTGATAGAATACAAAAGAGTATATTCTATGACATATATAAATTTTGTCTCAAATATTAAAGTACTTTGACTAAGTGGTATCTTTATAAATTAACCAAGGCTAACTGTCATCCACCATCTCCGGGAATTGTTTATTTCAAGATATTTAGGATATCCCTTCAGCAAACATCAGGTACGGAATGCTAATTCCAGCATTCTATTTACGTTTTAGATTTTTTTTGCGTCGTTACGTTTTGTAAATGACGATTACATTAACGTTTATTTATAACAGGAAAAATTACATTGGAGAGGTAAACGATTAATTCTTTTAGACAGATTTCTATGCACCATATATCATACATTTGTAGCACAAAGATGATTTGAAAACTGAAAGTTACAAGACAAAGTTTATTGAATCCGATAAGCCATCTGAATAAATATATCATAATTTTTTAATTAGTTTTGGGGCCAAATGTTTTTGAATAAACATTTTTTTTTTTTTTTTTTTTTTTTTTTTTTTTTTTTTTACAATTTTTATAAAAATGTTAACCATTAGAATTTTTTTGCTTATCAGTATATGAGTATGATCATCTACAACCTTCATTGTAATCAAATACCATGAAGAGTAAGAACCTCATTCGAAACAATTGACAACACATGTACTTTGTATATGCGTGTAGGTGTATCGTTTGGTCATGTATTTGTATTGACTTAATCTTAACAAAGAGCTTGTGTCGTGTACTTCTAAACATGGTTCATTACCGGGTATTTCTAAAAGCGTATACACGTAACGTGCTTTCCTTATGTCTTTATTAGTGTGTTGTACAGTGCTCCTCAGTGTTTCTTTGTTGTGTTTGTCACTAACAGTTTACCTGTATAAGCATTGCGCGTTTTCTTGACGAAGTTTACACTTCTGGACATATGGTCTTATTGTCTCTGTACTTTTTCAAGTATATGAGATTAAATAGTTATATATTTATGTTCTTTTCCTGCTGGTTTTTATTGATTTTGAGTTCCAACTTTGGTTTATTTACAATTCAAAATTATCATGTTTTCATTTACGTATGTGGCGTATAATAGCTTTTGTAAGAGTGCCATACATTTCTGTAAATATCTGCGAATCCTTATGCACATTTAATTGGTTGATTGTTAAAGTACGGTCACCACATGTGTACCGTGGTAAAGTATATATGGATAAACACAGTGGAAATCGATTGGAACTACTATAACGTGTATATCAAGCCACCATTTGGTTAACCACTGAACCTCTTTTATAATTTTACAAATGCTGTACTTGCATCACGTGTTATGTTTATTATTACAAAGTCTGAACTTATATCCCGGATCTAATGTGTGATAATAGGGTGTATTTTGTTTATCTCTCTTATCCTTTTTAAATCAATTAGCCAATTACTATGCGGATTCAATTTATCCGACCAAAGTTTGCATTTGTCTTATTTTTTGGTGGCGAAATGGATGTAGTACAAATGTATCTTATAATATTTGTATATCCAATTAAACATATATCGTTAGTCTAAGGTAGGTGCTAACACAAGAGTCCCGTCTAAAAGAGCTGTGTTTTAATTTTAATTCTACGCGGCAAAATGGTCATCCGGTTCTAATAGAATAATTGTGAGACTGGCTTTTGTTTAAGAGTGACTTTTTAAATACTTATATACTTATGTGGAAGAAGTGCATGTTTTATAATAGATGATGGACCAGCATTTGTTTATATGAATGGTAGATCGATTGGTAGAGTGGTAGTAAAAAAGTAACATATTCAGTCCTCAAATATGTAGATATCCTGGTCCAAGAGTTTAGGGTTTGTACAACGGTGCTGCCCCGTACCGGATGAAAGAGGGAGATAAATGACAACCATTTGCCATTAGAAATCACCTGAATGATAGAAGCTCGGGATGCCTCGGGATGCCTCCTTACCAGTTCCAATACCATCTTACTGATAAAATGACGCATTAGCTCATTTATCCAAGATATTGTTTGTAACATATCAATTTCAAAAGGTACTTAAATCCCAGACTTCATGATGCTCTGATTCTGACTTTCAATCATGTCCAGCTTCAATCTCTGAGATACAGTCAAGTGCTTGTTTAATGTTTTAATGACGCCTATTAGGCAGCGAAACCAAAACATTGCACCCTGATAAATGTGGTTTGATAATAAAACAAGTGGCATTATAGTTCCTTCTGCAGCTTGTCTTTCACAGCTGGCTGACTGAATATAGTCACCCAAAAATGAGTGACATTAATGACATGCACAGGTTTTTTTGTTTTTTTTAAATATATATATTTCTTGTCTTTTTTTGTTGTGTTATTGTTTTTTGGTAGATTCCATACTTGCTGTTTGATTCTTAACTGTAGATTTATATATATACACATATACATCTCCTTTAATGGTATTGTTCGTTGCATATGCATTTTGTATATTGTTATAGGTGCATATTTTGGTTGACCAGTTTGGTGTTCAGTATTGTCAAATGTTTTGAATTAACTCACATAATAAAATACCCGATGAAAGGAATGCCATTCATTGCAGTAGTAATAGATACTTAACACTTTATGGTAAAAAGCTCACATACATGAACCAGGATTCAGTGTCTTCCATATCTTAAGAAACTACACTGTACGACGAAAATTGTCCTTGTTTCATCAACCACGATCGAATCGGCATGCGCTGTTTGAGTCTTTTAGATCAGGAGAAGCAAGACGTATCATAAAATATCGCAATATTTTATTATTCTTTAACAGTGCACGCGTTTTTCTAAACTGCATTAAAGGCGTAAATTCAATATATTTGCTTTTACATGACATTTGATATTTCAACAGCTCTTTAATAAGTACACTGTTAAAATATTTTTATTTTTACCGGAATTGTTACATTAATTGTTTTTGAAATTATTGGAATACTGTGAGGTCACATCCTGTATACGCTGTGAGTCTTATATCAAATTTTATACAGAGAAGAAAACTTTTGGACTTGTGGTTCTTTGTCAAATAGAATAATTTTGCGTAGAAAAGAGGGTAGAAACTACAACTTTGATATCGATATATAAAGTTGATATACCATAATCTATTGGACGGTTTTAAAACGTTCAACAGCAATTTCATTGTTACAGCAGTGATCTTACTACTCGGATGGAGCAAGTTGATCGACAATAGTTTGATATTCCTATTACTGCTGCAATGGTAATCGGCCCCTGAAACAATGTGATGATAGTATATAAAATGTACATTATGTATGTCTTGACTTCGAAGTCTGCACTGGATACGTACCAATACAGGCCCAAGTGTACTATACACGGTATCGCCACCACGAGCTGGATGGTCTTCCAGTTCCGCAGGATGAAGCCTGCCCCCGTCAGGTATAGCAATCCCACAGGAAAGACTAAGTGCATTAGAACGCCCGCCAGCATCCTCCTATTGGGCCCAGTCAATTCTATACCTGTCAACAAAGGTAGATAAGAGTCATAACTGCAAAGACGGAACCAGCTCATTCTTTCAAAACTTAAGAATCATCAAAAAACACAATGAGGCGGTAAACATAGTGAGAGGAGTTGAAGTAACACGCAAATGATGCAAACTTTCACTATTTCAATAATATTATACTTAATATTATCACGCACTCGTTTTCCACAGGTCATATTTCCACTATTCGAAGTATCTGTACAAAGAAGCAACAGGCACAACACATGAGTCCTGAGTGACTGATGCAGATGACAACAATGGCGCAGAAGCCTGGTCATTTTCAAGGTTGTGTTATGATTCTATATCAGTAAAATAAAATATGTATTGCTCTTGCGGTAGGGACACACAATTCTTTGCTTCTCCCCGATTCATCATATTTCAACGTCGTGAAACATGATTAATTTCAAGAAAATAAATACTCGTTTTCACCTACCACAAGAGCGTATATTGATGTTGCAGCAGTATCCTTTACTGGCGTATTCGACTTAGACGCAGAGGTCATGACTGCATTATTAAATGGTTACATACCCATGACGACAACCAGGATGAAGAGGCCGTGGTTGGATGCCCCAACCAAGAATTCCAAGACGGTGAAGCTGTAGAACTCTGTTGTAAACGCAGTCGCTACGGAGGATATGAAGAGGAGGATGGAGGCCAATAATATCGATTTCCGTCTTCCGAAACTGAATTTTAGAACATTATCAAGATAAATGTTTTAATATATGGGCACACTTTAGTAACATAATTTTATAGCATAATGACATGTTGTCAAAACATTGTACTGATATGTTGTTATAACATAATGACATGTTGTTTTAACCTTGTATTGACAAATTGTTATAAATTTGTACTGATGTGTTGTTAAAACATTATACTGACCTGTTGTTATAACACTATACTGATGTGTTGTTATAACATTATACTAATATGTTGTTATAACACTAATCTGACATGTTGTTATAACATCATACTGACATGTTGTTATAACATAGTACTGACAAGTTGTTATAGCATAATCCTGAAATGTTGTTATAACATCATACTGACATGTTGTTATAACATAGTACTGACATGTTGTTATAGCATAATACTGATATGTTGTTAGAACATTATACTGACATGTTGTTTTAACAATATATTGATATGTTGTTATAACATTATACTGACATGTTGTTATAAAATAGTATTGATTTGTTGTTATAACATAGTATTAATTTGTTATTATAACACTATATTGATTTGTTGTTATAAAATTATATTGATTTGTTCTTATATTATAGTACTGACTTTTTGTTATAATATTATACTGACATGTTGTTGTAACATAATATTGATTTGTTGTTATAATAGTATACGGACATGTTGTTATAACATTATACTAACATGTTGTTATAACATTATACTGACATGTTGTTATAACATAGTACTGACATGTTGCTATAACATTATACTAACATGTTGTTATAACATCATACTGATATGTTGTTATAACATAGTACTGACATGTTGTTATAACATTATACTAACATGTTGTTATAACATTATACTGACATGTTGTTATAACATTATACTGACATGTTGTTATAATATTATACTGACATGTTGTGATAATATTATACTGACATGTTGATTTAACAATATATTGATATGTTGCTATAACATTATACTGACATGTTGTTATAAAATAGTATTGATTTGTTGTTATAACATAGTATTAATTTGTTATTATAACACTATATTGATTTGTTGTTATAAAATTATATTGATTTGTTCTTATATTATAGTACTGACTTTTTGTTATAATATTATACTGACATGTTGTTGTAACATAGTATTGATTTGTTGTTATAACATAGTTTTGATTTGTTGTTATAACACTATATTGATTTGTTGTTATAACATTGTTTTGATTTGTTGTTATAACCTAATACTTACATGTTGTTATAACATTATACTGACATGTTGTTATAACATTATAATGACATGTTGTTTTAACCTTGTATTGACATATTGTTATAACATTATACTAACATGATGTTATAATATTATACTGTCATGTTGTTGTAACATAGTATTGATTTGGTGTTATAACATAGTTTTGGTTTGTTGTTATAACACAGTTTTGATTTGTTGTTATAACATAGTATTAATTTGTTATTATAACACTATATTGAGATGTTATAACCTAATACTTACATGTTGTTATAACACTATATTTATTTGTTGTTATAACATAGTACTGACATGTTGTTTTAACAATATATTGATATGTTGCTATAACATTATACTGACATGTTGTTATAGCATAATACTGATATGTTGTTATAACATCATACTGACATGTTGTGATAATATTATACTGACATGTTGTTTTAACAATATATTGATATGTTGCTATAACATCATACTGACATGTTGTTATAGTATTATACTGACATGTTGTTATAACATTATACTGCCATGTTGTGATAATATTATACTGACATGTTGTTTTAACAATATATTGATATGTTTCTATAACATTATACTGACATGTTGTTATAAAATAGTATTGATTTGTTGTTATAACATAGTATTGATTTGCTATTTTAACACTATATTGATTTGTTGTTATAAAATTATATTGATTTGTTGTTATATCATAGTACTGACTTGTTGTTATAATATTATACTGACATGTTGTAACATAGTATTGATTTGTTGTTATAACATAGTACTGACATGTTGTTATTATAATACGATATGTTAAGTTATATCGGTTCCAATATCGTACAAATATAGTTAAAATGTTTCTGAAGCAACACTGATTTCTTACCCACATCGTACACTAGCGATATACTGTCATTGGATAGCCGTTTTAGGTTTCGGTTTTATTTTGTTATTACCTTTTAATAGCTTTAGTCATTTAAGGTCGTTCCTACATATGTGTAATGTATGAGTGCTTGTGTGTACATGTATGTGTGCTTCAGGCAAAGTATTTTGATGTGGTTTTAGCCGTGTTACTACCTTTTTATAAAAAAGTGCAGTGAAACACTCCGATCGTCGACTGGTACCTTGTAAAATAAGCAAACCAATATGACAATTTTAATTCATGTTTGCTTTCATTGCAACACGAACCTATCTGATAGCATTCCAAAGAATAAATCTCCCACCAGGACGCCACAGTAATAAACCATCTGAGCATGCGCCGGTTTCATCTCGTCTGAACACACGAGGTTACCCTAAAATACAAGAAAATATTAGATGTGATAAGGAAGCAATATTGACAATACGACCTCTGTTTACAATAGGTCTTCTGGAAACTAAATAGCAATGACCCTTAACCAGTGGACTTCCTTGTACAATGATATTAAATTGGACAGTCTCAGTGCTCTGTGATTCATCTTCATAGAAGAAGAATTTCAGTTTTGTTTTACAAAGTTCTCACTTGAAGCTGATAACCAATTTACTATTGTAAGGATAATTAAGAAAACATTATATCTTTTCATTTCAATGTTCATAATAAACTCTTGGTCCAGGCAAGTGGATTTAATGCCGGGACACCTGCGCAATTGAGTATAAAACAGGCAACTTATCCACGGCGCTATAGGCCGTGCTATTTATTATGCAAATAATTTATACAACATTAGCAGGAAGGGTTCAAACAGTTTTAACTCCTATAAAAGTCCCACAACGGGTAGTTGTTTTTGTATGAATGTTGAGGGAAAACTTTAACTAAACAGGTTGATATTGCCCTATACAATGCACAACAGATGGGCGATGAACGCCTCAATCTAAACGATTTCGATATTTACGTTACTAGACAGAATATACAAATCACTTTATCACGTTCTTCATGTTCTGTTTATGTTGAATCAAATATTTTTTTCCATTTTTAAAAAGATTTTATTCACATGGACAATGTGTTTAATGGACGACTAACCTTCTTAATGTGTCTAGATGTCTAATTATTAATTTAAGTAGGGATAAAATAAGCAATATTACCGGTAGCCTCCCAAATAACACTGCAAATATCCTTGCAAACGTATGTTGGAAGGATACGAAATAATTTTATATGGGGCAAGGAAGTCATTCTTACAGTGTAGACAATATTTTGTTGTCACATGTTCGAAGCAATCCGCTCCATTATCTTTGTTTTGAAAACAATAAGCCCCTCGGCTAGCGTTAGTAGAAGGCAGAATTAACACTAGAATTTAGAGTGGTCAACGATGCAGTCAGTGTTATGAATAATAATAATAATAATAATAAACTTTGATTTATTTTACAACAATAATGAACAAATTATTAAAACTTAAATTTATTACTCTTGTTAGCCGGGATGTTAGCGCGTTGGGGGTCTTGGTGAGGGGAGAAACCGGAGTACCTGGAGAAAACTCACGTGGTCGGGCAGGTGACCACAACCTTTCATGTCCGATCGGGGAATCGAACCCCGGTCGCCTTGGTGAAAGGCGAGTGTGACAAGTATTCAACGTTGGGGTTTTTTCATGTAAACACAAGAGATTTAAATTTGATTTTCAGACCTTTAAATACTACTTTTGAATTTCTGATAACATTATAGCAAATTAAATGTAGATGACATTGTCCAGAGGAAACCTTACTCATATTGCATTCCAAACAAGGTTAACTTATCTCTCATGAGTTTTGTTTGTCTGGCCTATATCTATAAATCGATATGGACAAAGATACTGACATTCCTCACAACGGGTAGATATTCATGCGTTTTAAGATAAAATCAATGTTTGTAATCTGTCGGCGATTCCTGACCTAGCCACAACCATGTTAATGCCCCATTAGCTCCATATTTTCTTCATTCTATACAATTGCAAAAGACGTGACGATCATTATCCATGTATAGCATTACAGATTTAAGATAAATGTGCACGATTATTACTGATTTCATAAACTTAGACCCTCATCCCTTCCTTTACACTGTTGGTATTTTTTTATTTTTTTTTAACAAATGTATTTTATGATACCAGTGATGAGATATGTTGGTTTATCAGCTTGATAAAAGCGATATTTTCCACACTGTGACAGATATCAGAAGCGATATGTATCACAGCGACAAAACCTGATTTCTAATACCAATTAGAACTTTCAATACATCAAAAACGCTATCCTCCTTGTTTTTGATTTTGTGGCATTCTTATCGATCTAGGTATGTTTAATATGTATTAAATGAAATATTTAATTATTTTCTCTTTTCATATCTTACATATTTTACTTGATGGCATAATAAAACCACGAAATATATGTGATATCCAATAGGATACCATTATATATATATTATATATATATATATTAATCTTTATATTCAAAAGCTTAAGTAGATAGGCGATATCATTAGAATGATAATGGTTTGGTTGATGGTCACTTTATTTTGTTGCGGAGGCCTGCCGATTTAAAACATAAACAAGAATATATTATTTTGTTGTATTTACATAAAGAGTATCACCTGAGTAACAATGGTCTGGTCAAATGTATCTCGGTCGTAAACCCATTGGGAACATTGCGCCTTTGTGACGGAGGACGAGTTTCCGGTTCCTGTCGGTGTGTACACGTGACATCTGTCGTAGTCGTAGAAAGAGTCTTCCGAGGTCGGAATAGTCCTGTTGATGAGGTTGGCATGGTAACTGCCCTGGATGGCCCATGTATCGTTATCGTAACCAGGAATCTTACACCTGTAACATAATGTTTATTTTGTTAGTTTTGTTGCAACAATATATGTTATCATAATCATAGGCACGTCATTAAATGACCTTAGCTGTTCATAAGACGTTTAACAAAATAACACCAAACCAAAAGTCACGAATCATAGAAACCAACCGTTATATCATAGAAGTTAGGGAGTAATAATCGTCACCGTACAATGCTACAATTAATACATATATAATATTGGGTAATGAAATAAATAATATATTCTACAACCATACACGAATAATATGTTTACTTTATTGATTGTATTTTTTAATATATCAATTATTAAACATTTTTTTCTTTTTTTAGATATGAAAACTGAAAATTTTGACTGCACTTTTGCAGCAGGATAGTAAATTTGTATAGCTAATTGACCTGGTGAACACAAATCCGAAGGCCTGCAGTCATGTTGCAGTTATAAGCATATTTCAAAGTATCCGCCCGTAACGACATAGTCGAAGATCAGGGTCAGACGGAAAGGTTTGGTTTGGTTTGGTTTAGTTTAGTATTGTTTAACGTCCTATCAACAGCTATGGTCATTTAAGGACGGCCTCTCCTGTGTGCAAGATGCATGCGTGTAATGTATGCGTGTGTGTGTTGGGAGGCTGCGATATGTTCGTGTTTGTCTCCTTGTGATAGCGCGGAACTGATGCCGACTTTATAGTGCTCCCTTCCTGAAACATACTGCCGAAGACACCCAGCAGGACATCCCACCCGGTCACATTATACTGACAACGGGCGAACCAGTCGTCCTAAATATGACAAGACGATAAGAAAACAATATCAGCAGGGATCCCACCACCCTCGATATTCTAGGAGTTACGCTCAATTGCGTTCTCTGTACCCTTGATTATGTAATAATTACCTCGGAAATCCTAGGGTTATGTTCATTTGCGTTCTCTGCAATAACCTTATGGTTGATGCAAGCAGACTAGTTTGATTGCTGATGTGCATCAACAGAATCATGCTTAAGCCTAACAATGGAATTGGCCGGCTTTGAAATTGGGTTTGGCTCTCTGTAATCTTCATAGGACAGGTCATCCTAGCGATTGGTAAGAGTTTTGATTTACCAGAGACCAATTAAACAGCTAATTGCAATCCTTTGTTTCTATTTTGACGTATTATAAGAGCACAAAGAGCGTAAAGTGAGCGTAACCCCTGAAATGCTGAAGATTAGATTCCAAAAAAAATTGGTGATGAAGAGTGGTAATAATTTCCTCTACCACATATATAAACCCGGTCATGATGCATATGTACGTGTTATTAACCACGGACAGTACCCCTGGGGTTAAGCTCATCTTTGCTCTCTGCACCCCCGGGATATATGTCATAGCATAATTAAAGGCAAGCGGCTATCCATTTGATTGGTCTTGGGTAACAAAACACCCTAACCAATCGCTAGGGTGATACCTTTCCTTTGAAGATTACAAAGAAGCGACACCCTACTTCAAAGCCAGTGAAGTTTACCGTTATGCGACAGACAGCTTCCAATGATGTTCATCAAAGGATCAGGCTAGTCTTCTTGTCTCATTCACAAAGTGGTGCACACTGAATCTTCGATTTTGCTATTACATATTAGGGGCGCAGAGAACGAAAGTGAGCGTAACAAATGGTGTATCGAGGATGCAACAAACCTAGATACATATTAACACTATCATTTACCACAGTAACTAACAGGTTGTAAACTATGAAGATCAGATTGTAGCTTCTAATTGGAAGATTATCATCATTATACGAAAGTCGTTTTTTTAAATTATATCATTTTGGAGTAGTAATATGGTTTGCTTAGTTAATTGGTGAAGCTAGGGATAAAATTAAATCAGTTTTTGTTAAATGATAGATATAGGGATACGAATGTGCGATTGGAAATTTTTGCGTACATTTCGGATGTTTACTAATTGGGTTAGTGATGCAATTGTGTATTTTTAATTAATACGAACCTGTGTTTTGGAGTGTAGGCCAGTAAGACGATCGCCATCATGTAACAACCATTACCAATGGAAGGCAAACACAGTAGGCAGAACAGAAATATTTGATACCTCCCGAACTCGCCAATCCTTTTGAGAATGTCTTCTAAATTAGACATTTTTCGTTAAGCCTCTGTAAAGACAATAACATATTATTATTGCAGTTTGAGTATTTTGTTATAGTACGCATGAATGTCAATGCCGGGTTAACTTATCCTACATGTTCTGCCATGTGTCTGGAACTACGACATGCGGCATAGGTTTTGACCAAGAATACTGAAAATTACCTTATTTTTGCGATATATTAAATTTCGCGTTGCTCAGTGAGAAGATCCATTCGTGACTTTAAAGCATTCTCAAATAATAATTTCATGCCTGTATACTTATAAGAAATATTTGAAATAATATTCACTCATTCACTTAAAGTTCATACATGAACAAAACGTACAAGCCTAGTTTGCTAATATTCACTCATTCACTTAAAGTTCATACATGAACAAAACGTACAAGCCTAGTTTGCGATATTGGGTATATGCGAAACTGAAGTTGTTTTTCAGCACAACGAGTGACCTTGTTTCACCTCTGACAACGACATGTCGACAATGATCAACAGTAATGGCTACTAGTTGAAATATCGCATTGTGAAATTAATTATGAAATTTACAATTACTGGTTTATATTTCAATTTGTTACTTCGCACCTATCTCAGATGACAGTCATATCCCCGATGTGTGAACAAACAGATGTTTGCTATTCATTGGTGTATATGTAACATACATTGAAATCTGTTTAGCTTGGGGTGTATAATAATATCTAGTACCAGCCGACTAGTACTAGCCGACTAGTCCAGGCTGGGTTGTTACCGCCTGCTATTATAACCAATTTATCAAAAAAACACAGAAATAATATATTAAGTTCATAGGTTATTGTAAGTACAACTTTAATTGATTATTATAACTGATGATGCAGTCATTAAAAACGTTTTGTTTGTATTTTAAAAAAAATGCCAAAATATCTAAATCAAATAACTTTCGGTCTAGGGAAAAATAATACTCCTATAGTTCATGAAACATACTATCAACATCACCAGTGTTTGATATCAGATGTTGATTTCTTCCCCTGTACGATCACCGAAGCGACATTTCAGTAAGGCTAAAATAATGTTTTGATTCCGGTTACCCTACACTCCCTAACATTTGTGCCTACCGTAAATATTTTTGGCAGCTTGAAAGAAATTGTATTAAAGTCATAAGCATTAAATATGAAAATAAAAGTTAATGTCTATAACTAGCCTATTTTTTTCAAACACGTAACAGGAAATAAAAATGTTTTATTTAGCCTAAGACCAACAAACTCATGCAGACCTGTACGTAAACTCTCTCTCTGATGACACGGTGGTATTCACCGGTCCTCCAGTGTCCCCAATTCTTCGTAAAGCCAGTTTACACAGAATATAAAAATATCAGTATCTAATGTGTTTGCCCATGTGGGAGAAAGGCCTTAAGCCCAGCATATCATATTTGTTTCCTTGTGTATGTGACCCTGGGTAATTGTTATTATTTCCGTCCCGCCCTTGTTTGTGTTAATTTATATTTGGTGCCAAGCATATGATTTGAATCTTTACAGACGAATGAAATCGACATAATAAAACCTTAGAGTATTCAATTAAGTTTCAAGGTTGTCTCATCATGATATGGCTTCCTAAGTATCGTAGCTTCAATGAAGAACGAAGGTTGTATAGGCAAACATCTTAATTTTAAGCTTGTCGGAAAAATGTATCATTCATTGAATAACTTATAATACGCAAACACGCCCTGACACACTCAAACACAAAATAACAAGATAAGGATGCTGTTCCTGTGTAGCTTGTAGTGATTTGTATGTTTAAAAGGAAGGCTAAACGCATGATTCTCCTATTTGTTTCTGTTGTAATTAAGTTCGGCATAGTATTTCAGCGAGATAGCACTCTAAAGTCGGCATCAGATCCGCGCTATCACAAGGAGGCAAATACACCAACATACCTTGTCTCTGCGCACACATACAAACATGCAAGCATACACAACACACATGGAGGCACGTCATTAAATGACCTTAGCTGTTCATGAGACGTTTAACAAAATAACACCAAACCAAAAGTCACGAATCATAGAAACCAACCGTTATATCATAGAAGTTAGGGAGTAATAATCGTCACCGTACAATGCTACAATTAATACATATATAATATTGGGTAATGAAATAAATAATATATTCTACAACCATACACGAATAATATGTTTACTTTATTGATTGTATTTTTTAATATATCAATTATTTAACATTTTTTTCTTTTTTTAGATATGAAAACTGAAAATTTTGACTGCACTTTTGCAGCAGGAAAGTAAATTTATATAGCTAATTGACCTGGTGAACACAAATCCGAAGGCCTGCAGTCATGTCTGTGCATAAAAGTATACATTGTATATCCCTTTTCCCCTACTGAATGTTCTAATACTCATTTTAGGAGTTCAAAAACTAGCTAATAGCTTGTTTGAAACATATTTACAAAGATAGCTATACCGAATAGGCCTACCACATAATTTACTGTATTATTTACAAGTTTTAAAAGAAAACACGGTTATTAATGAAACCGTTCTCATGCTCAAGCATGGAATTTATGCTCAAGACTAATTTTCTGGTATTAAATGAATAAATCTCTTTTTTTACTTTTTCATTGTTTGACATGATTTAACCGAGTTACAAATAAGGTTAGTTTGAGCACAGAATCCATGCTTGAGCACGTTTGAGCAGTTTCATGAATACAGGCCAAGGTGACAACTAAACAAACAAGTTCTTTGTGTTAAGGTTCAACGTACCGTACCACTGACTAAAACTGTTTAAATATACACAGGAAACCGATTATACTGGCATAATTTTAGCATTTACAATCTTTTCTCAAAAGAAAAACATACCTTTACGGAAAGGGCTCTACGTAAAAAATCATCTGAGCTACACCGTGACATTGACCCGAGATATCAGACGGTCATACTGTCGATCCGACCGACTGAGCTACCAGGTCATTAGAAGAGTGCTGTCCCAACGGTACTTTATTTATATAAAGAACGAAACGAAAGGGAGGGTACTATATGAAAGAAAATACACAGTGCAGTGGGATACGGATCTTTAAGTAACACGTAAATGAAAGCATCTAACTAACGTTTTGGCTTAAATATTTCTATGCATTGAAACAAATTCTTAATGGGTATTTTTGGCTGAATCTATTACATTGTGTGAGCACTTTCTATACACTCCGTTCTGATTCCTGCTAACTCAACAATTGCTTGTTTGACGATTGCATTAAATACACATTTTGACCTAAATATGTGTATGCATTTAAAAGAAAAAGCAATTGCTCAAAAAGTTTCATTGGCTTAAAAAAGCTGAATCTATTACACAGTTCGGAAACCTTCTAACTCAACAATTGCACATTAGACGGTTGCATGCTTGAGAATTAATTGCACACAATCGGAGCACCTCTTGAACTTTCCATTCAAAAGCAGCAAATGAAATATTTATTCATATTTAAGTATGGAATGGATCAAACTATTTGCCCCCAAGCTACTGGGACAGTCCATGTTTGCATGTAAAACACACTGAGTTGTTCCCAGATGAATACACGAGTCAAATATTCTAGCTTATTGTACACAGACCCAGTAACCAAACAGTATATGAAGACATTTTAGGGATAGGTTTTATTCGAAGCTATACATGAGATCGTCTTAAGCATACAATCATCAAAGAAATGCTCGTTGTTTTGACTAGTTCAATTTTGTTCTGAAGTAGTAAATAAAACATAAGCCTTATTTTGTGTATGTAAAAAAAAGAAATTATCATATCATTAAAGTGATATTTATCAATGCTTTATTCATCCTTAAAGACATAAATGTCATGGCATGTCATCCAGGTGACAATGAAACGGTTATTTAGTGTCATATAAGATATAAGGTTGACCCTTTTCCTCTGCTAGCTCGTTAACCTCAGAGGTGATTTCACATGACCTCATTGCAGAGACATCTGAAATAGTATACAAAATAAGAAGCCCATGGGCCTTAACGGTCACCTGAGTTCTAGTATATTTATATAGAGAGTTGATTTTTGTTTTTAAAACATGAACAGAAACATTATTCAAAGTGACAAAAAACAATTAAACCACCTTATTCATTATCTAGCATACAGATTTAAGACTGAAAAGTATTTGAAACGAGCACCTCTGATTTTAAAGTTGGAAAATGAAGAAATTTTAGCACACTGACTCCCTTTGGCCCCGCCCTACAGCCCTTGGGGGTAAGGGCTGGCTCAAAATGTTCAAAGTATCAAACTGTCAACTCAGGGTTATAATTCCAATCAAGTTATCAGGAGGTAATATCCAAAGTATTATTTGCCAATATAAACCATGATAAAATGTTTGAGGGTCAGTCAGGGCTGATATTATGCATACCATCAAACTGCTATCCAATACTAATAATGCTTTCCCAAATTGAATTACTTCCAATGGAAATTAAACTATTGTTGGTCAAAAATGTGATTTCCCTATATAAACCATAGTACGGTTTACCCCCTCCCCAGGGTAAAACAGGAGACCCCAGGGTCATGAAATGCACAATGTTGGTAAATCACCTTAAGACCCTTCAATCTATGAAGATAATTTGATTCTACCATATCTGGGTTTTAAGAAGATTTTTGAAATTTCAGTCAATTTGACCCTTTTTGGCCCCACCCATCAGCCCCTTGGGGTCAGTCAAGGCTGATACGGGCATACCATCAAACTGATATCCAATACTGACAATGCTAACCCAAAATGAATTACTTCCAATGGAAATTAAACAAATGTTGGTCCAAAATATGATTTCCCTATATACCAATTTTGGTAAAGCACCTTCAGACCCTTACATCTATGAAGAGTATTTGATTCTACCAAATCTGGGTCTTGCGAAGAAGATTTGTGAAATTTCAGTCAATTCGATCCTTTTTGGCTCCACCCATCAGCCCCTGGGGGTCAGTCAGAGCTGAAATTTGCATACCATCAAACTGCTATCCAATACTGATAATGCTAACCCAAATTGAATTTCTTCCAATGGAAATTAAACAAGTAAG